GTTTTGATAAAAGAAACCTTACCAAGTCTCCAAGTAGTCTGAAAACTGAACCAAACCCAAATGCATCCAGCTCTGGATTAATTTAGCTCTAGCATTTTCATTATTAAAAATAAGAGGAAATCACTCACAGACAGGAAGGTTTCCCTTCTGTACAATAAAGATCCAAAATCCTGTGCCAAATACAGTCAGGAATGTGGTAAACAATGTGAGGGAACAAACTACCCGCATGATACATGTGTGATTAACCGGCTCTGGCATGGCTGCACACTTGATCACAGCAGCGCCATGGAAGCCCCAGGGAGCAATGGCCCTCGATTAACACTCATGGGCTTTGACTCATTATCAAGGTTGAACTGTGATAAATATCCTTTGGCAAAGCACATCAGTGTGGCATACTTTAGAGCATTACGCGTTCGATCTAAAAGCTGAATGTGCCTTCCTATACATTGTTAATGACTAATGAAACTGAGAAACGCAGCCAAAACATTCATAAACACAGGAAGTTGTATTGAATATAAAGGCAAAATCATTCATGCTACAGGAGTGGAGGTCAATATAATATTGTTGATCATAGGAAGCTCGTCCCAGCTATTAACAATGACAAAAACAAACAGAGGCGGGACGCTTTAGAGCTGGACGTTTCGGAGCAGGACAGCAACAAGTACAAGTGGGGTTTTCCTCGAGTTAAGCGGAGCTCCGCAGGCCTCCAGACATGAAAGGAACACTTGGGGCTGCCAGAATCCCTTTCAATACACAGAGGTTTTGCAGGGGGAAAAAGTCCAATCCGGCACCTTTGTTCTTTGTTTCTGTTTTTCAAGTGTTCTTCTGGGACCCCATAGGTGAACTAAGGGTGTTTTTTATCCAGGGTGTGACTACAATTACACAAAAACAGTCCTATCTGCTGGAGGTTAGGACTGAGGGGATGTATAGAATAACAGTAGCAACGTAAACAGAAAGCTAAAGGAGGATACCATACACAAAATATGACAGTGACATGTAAACCATACAATTCCTAAGCATTGCCTAATATTTTTAGATTACAGTTTATTAGGAGTTTATTTACTTGATTCCTGGCCACTTTGGTGATGGTACTTAGCTGGTGGACAGTATAGTGCTGGAACAGAGGGGGGAAATAGTTGCTGCGTAAATTAATGACGGATATTTGCAGGACATTTAACATACACATACAAAGCATAGCCCATATGTAAGACATTCCCTACCGAACAGTTGTTCAATTTCAGATAGGAAACAATTCATTTCAATTCACTTCATTGGTTGGATGAAACTAAAATTGCACTGTAAATCGTACCTCGCTTGGAGTCTAGTGACATCTAGTGGTCTGTTCTATGCATTACAATGCAGTTGTCAGGATAAAAGGACGGCCTCCCAGCAGACGAGTGCTGGATGGTAATGGAGACTTAAGGAAAGACTCTAAAATCCACATGTACTTCGATTAGTTTTTAGTCAAATCTACTCTGGATAAAAACATGCCAAATTAATCTGGTACAATGTGGTTTAAGAGCCTTAGGAATATTCATTTGTTTTTAAAAGGTGTATATTTACAGTCATTTCTTTCTATCTCTATGATTTTAAACACTTAACTTAAGACACTTTGTGGCAAACTTCGAATGTCTTGAGAATAAATAGATACAAAGTAAAGTATCGAAATGCAAACGTGTTGAGCACAAACCATCCAATCAAATAATCATAGGGAGGAACATTTTTAAAGACATTTTGAGGAAAAACTATTCCATAGAAAAATCTAAAGACACATCATTTGGATTATGAAGGAGTCAGCAAATAAATGTAGTGATCCAGGCTTGTTTTAGTTTTGTTCCTGTTTTCTCTTTTGTTTATTTCTTTTTAATTTTACTTATACAGAACAGTCACTCCTACCTTCATTCTACATTAGTGAAACTAACACATCAACAGGTTTTTTATAGCAGGTTTACAGCATCTGACCCCCTTCACATAAAGAGTTCCTTATTTGTCCCGACAAAAGATCCATGAATCCGATGTGCCTATATTTTCTCCACCGTTTAACGAGGCCTTCACACGGAGTAAAAGCTAAACCAAGATTTGTCGTCCACTGACTCCCAACGAATGTTTCACTCGGACCACATTTCAATCCTTTCTCCACAGCCTTAAAAGGCTGACCTTTAAAGAGTCAGACGCTTTGGCATTTTGGATCGCGTGCACGACCCTGCTGAGTGAGGCCAAGTCTCTAAGCGCTCCTGTTCAGTGGCCAAACCCAGAAATGATGGGCTATCGCCAGGGTCTCAGAGTGGCTCCATCGCCTGAAAGAGCTCAAATGAAACTGTCACAGTCTGACGGCAGCTGCTGGGCCCAGGGAAGCCGCGGGGTGCCCGTGCGCACCGGAAAAATACAGTCTCACTGGCAGCTGTTCCATACCCGATCCAGGAGTGGAACAATCAGAGGGACTGGAGCAAACGCTCACCGGCGTCTTCTGGGCCGCAGCCAGGGTGCATATGAGTCAAGCCCCCAGTGGGGGGGCTCACTGAGAGCCAGAGCTCGCGCTGTGCGCTTTCTCCATTGTGAAACAGGTGCGCTGGAGCGCTGCCCTCCAAATTTACAGTCTTATGATGCGTTCACACTGCCCTGAGTCTAATAAAGAATGCGTTGACAGTGTTAAAACTTCAACCGTTTTCTGTGAGAGAGAAGGCGCGCCAGAATCCCCGGGACTGGGTCCTGCTGGTCTGGTGCGCGCTCCGGAGGATTCCAAACGGGCCCGGGTCTAAAAACCAAGACTCTGACAGGTGGGCCGCGGCTCAAGTTTTTATGATTAAGCGTCGGTGTGGCCCTCTGCGAAACAATCTGTAGTTCCCCTAATCCCCCCTCTCATCCCCCTTCCTGTGGGCAGTATCCACGCTCCACATCACGCCTCTGACGCTTTGATCTGAGTGGATCTGTTCCAAACGCTCGTCCAAGTTTGGTATACTCGGAGTTATTGGCCATCTCATTAGTCTCGGTTTGCTCTAGACGGCTTCATCCATTTGATAGAGGAAAATGTGTTGATTTTTTTTTATAACCCCCGACAGACTGTGCCAAAAGTGGGTGATACACCTCCGTTTCTCGTCTATTGCATAACGGTCGATCCAGTTACCCAAATGACTCCTTGCCTCGGTTAAGGTTGGAAGACTGAGGCAGAATGTGTTCTGCGAAATTTGTAACTGATCTGCAGGCTTGTTAAAAGGTTACTGGAAAGTTCCGTTGACAGCAAGAGCTTCAGAAATGCTTTTTGTTACGCCTGATCATTTCGGTTTGGGTTTCTAAACGCGTAGCCGTGACATTTCACTGCCTCTGAATCCAGATGGGTTTTTTTTTATTCATTCACACCAGGGAAGCATATCTTCTCTTCTCTTTTCTTTTAGTTTTTCTTTATTTTGCTTGATGTCTTCCAACCCAGTTTAAATCGTTTGCTTTTGTTTGTTATTCCGACCTTAGCCCAGTTTAACTCTATATATCGAAATAAACTTTCATACTGGTAAATCTTTAGAATCTGTCACTGGCTGCTTGAGTTTGGAGGAGTTTGTACTTTGAGTCCATAATACATTTTATCTAAAAGGTGGATTTATGTATTTTTACGGATTTATGTATTTTTCTATCGTTTCCTATATATATATATATATATATATATATATATATATATTTAAAATTATATATATATATATAATTCAAAGCACTTAATTTAGGACACTTCATGCAAAAAATGTTGTTTGTTTATTTGAAATGTATTGAAATGGCTGACTGCTTTTTGATAAACTCAGGCCCTCTAACTCCTGGAGTCATCAGATCTCAAAGATTTCACAAACAACGAACATGGCTTGTAGGCTAAAGCAGAAACAAGCTGACAATAATCTATTTGCTACTTACTTTGGTGATATTTACTGATAGCACCAATTTCCAAAATGTGAAGGGAAAAAAACACATTGCTCAAAACTCCAGGTTTTTGGAAACTTACGAAAATAAACCTGAGATATTTTTGCTGTTCTACTACTTCTTAACTCAAAGTTATACAATTTACCAATTAAATCTAATGGATACATTCAAAATTAAGCAACTGATTAATCAATCAACACTTTCATTGGTTTCATTGAATTATTCGATTTAATTTATCATTCGTTCATAACTGGATTAATTAAAAAACCGGTTAATTTATTCGTTCTTTAAATTAATATTTGTTCATTCTTTCAAGTTTAAATAAGAATTAGTTTGTCCAGATTTTGATGGGACGTGTGACTTGCTTGTTAATTTGTTTGTATCCAATCATACTTTTATTTGCCCTGAAAAGGCTTTTGATTGGATGCTTCCGGTGGGCTGCCTCCTCCTCCAGCTCCAGCTGTCTGTGGACGTCTGATGCAGGCGCCGTTTCAGGAGGTAAAGCGTTTTTCTCTCGTTTCCCTATAAATAAGTTCCCTGCGCTGTGTGTACGGAGATACGACATCTGCTTTTTAAAGTCTGCATGGTGAGAGGCTTTTTTTTTTTTTTTTTTGTGTCCTGTACTTGCCACTAACATCAGTAACCGTTCAAATGTCAGCTGGACGAATTTTCGTTTGGACCTGTTTCACTGCACTAATGTGTTTAACAGCCCGCGACTCAACGATATTTCGGGGAAATTACATTGTAAACCCCTTTCAATTTCAACGGCTCCGAAAAAAAACAACTATATGAGCTCAAGATCAACTAACAATTTTATAACAAGGCGGAGAGAGATATGCAAGTGCTATCTAATATGTGTCGACCATTTGCGTCCTTACGCAGAAAAGAGACAGGACATGTCGACTCCAATGGCATGATTTAATCACATTCTAAAAAAAACATTTTATTACCCTTGTCAAACTTTGAATTCGTTGTAAATTCTGCTTCTGCTTTTTTTCAACAAAAAGCACAAGCCATCTGATGTTTTAGACGTGAATTTGCACTGACCTTATTGGAATGTCCTCGGATTAGATTGCAAATATTCTAAGATAACCAGCGAGATGGAAACCAAGGCCGTGAAGAAGCCAGGGCCCAAGATAACTGTGGCTGATGATGATGAAGAACTGAGGTACGTCCACGTTAATAACTCTCCATGTCACACATCCACATTGTTGTGATGATCTAAAGTCTCGTTTTCTCCCTCGCTTTTTTTAATCCTATATTTTTCATCAAGCCCAACCGACCTGTCTGAGATGTTGTCCGTAGGAAATGCGGAGCCACACGAAAAATCAAGGAACTGCCAGTTCATCAAAGATATGCTCAAAGGACACATCAAAAGAGAGCTGTATAAGGTTGTTTAAGCCCTCGTAAAAAATCTTGTGTGGCTATTCAGAATATTTTCCGCTATTAAAACCAGTTTTGTTGGAAACTCTTAACATTTGTTCAAACGTGTCCAAATAGTGACACATTTGACAGCTGTTGTGTTTAGAGGCCAAGCAGTTGTTCAAAAAGCTTAGACTTTATTACATATTTTCATTCCTTTTTACTTTAGATTCCAACATATTGGACCAAAAATCTTCAATTTTAACAGTATAATAATTACAGGGAGTAATCCTCATGCATCCAGTAGAGAGTGAAGAACTGACTTCTTCGTTAGGCATTTTGTGTCACTGTAAAGCAGGCATGATATTTGCAATGCTGCAAATAAATTTAAAAAGAAAACTTCCATTCAATCCGGCATTAAGATGTTGTAAAATTAGCCATATTTGAGCATTTATTAAATGAAAAGCATTGTTTTTTTACTTAATCTTCTGCTTCTCTCCGTCCTTTTTTGGGGGGCGGTCAGAAATGCACAGCGGCTTTATATTTCGTCTACTCTGCCATGGAGGAAGAGATGGAGAAGAACCGGGAGCATCCTCACATCGCTCCGATCTATTTCCCCACAGAGCTGAACCGCTGTGAGGCCCTGGCCCGAGACCTGGAGTATTTCTACGGAGCGGACTGGGAGAGTCAGGTGAGCCTCTCACAGACAGTTTAGTCTGTTCTGGAGCAGAAATCTCCAAAAACCTGCTTCTTCTTTACTGGACCAGTCAAATGAATTCAGGTCTTGTGCAGATTGTCTGTGCTTTTCTTGAACTTGTGCCAAATGGTGGCCCTTATTTAGCTCGTTACTCATTGTTGCATTGCTGCATTCACATATCTGCGTTCTCCCTCACAGATCAGCCTCTCTGCAGGCACCAAGCCTTATGTGGACCGCATCCACGAAGTGGGGCAGAAAGACCCACTGCTGCTGGTGGCCCACTCCTACACCCGGTACATGGGCGACCTCTCGGGCGGCCACACCCTGAAGAAAATGGCACAAAAGGCTATGAAGCTCCCCTCGACAGGGGAGGGTCTGAATTTGTATCATTTTGAGGGAATTCCCGATCAAAATGGTTTCAAGAAGCTTTATCGCAGAAGAATAAATGAGCTGGAGCTGGACATGAAGGCCAAGGAGAAGATTGTGGATGAGTCCAATTGGAGTTACGACTTCAACATAGTGGTGAGCGAGCATGCAGAAACACAACAGGAAAGTGTTTTGCCGGGGTGATAAAGATATGCCAACGATCTACTTCAATTGTAAAAACAGGTATTTTCGGAGCTTGACGAAATTGGAAAAACCATGAAAGAGGACGTCCAAGAAGCCGGTGTTGGACCCAGTCATGCTTAGACCATGCAGATTGTACCAACAAATGCCCCGTGCAGCTAAAAACAAGTAAGAAATCCTTTCTATTGTTTATGTCATACAAATAAACACAAAACCTAAGTAGTGAACAGCCCCGTATGGCAGTGCCTGACAAATGTAATCCTGAATTTCCATCCTAGCTTCCAAAATCTGCAAAGAAAATAGTTTTCCTTTCATGAGCATTTGAAATGTTTCCTCCGTTTTCTCCTTTTACAGCTGGTGTGAATCCCACTTCTACGCTCCAGTGAGACACCATGCATGTCAGACACCAACTCTGTCAGGTGGCTCTGGAGCCCCGGTTGGAAATTTGAACACTCATACTCCTACAAAATGATCACAATGTTATGAACTGAATATATTTAGCATGGAATTAAAAGTGTAGGGTGCAGACGAATGCCTTGCTGTGTGAAAATGCATACTCCACAGTTGTAGATGAGTTAGTCAATAAATAACGCTTAAAGCTCTCAGTCTCTTGTGATGCTTTCAGTTAATTGCCATTAGGCAAATATTGCATTGGTCACACCATAACATTGGCCAAACAGAAAAATCCAACAGCCCACTCTTGCCACACCCTCCGCTTAAACACTTCTTGAATATCTTCCTTCCTTCTCCGAGAGTTTGTTCACCCTAAGTGCTCCCCCTGCTGGGCCCCCAGCTTCTATTGCTTCTTCTCATCCAAATCCATTGGTCCTTACTCATCGGACTATTTTCCTCCCACTCTGTCACTTACACCCCTTTCCCTCGACAATGAGACAACATTCCAAGCAACAAATCTTCTATATCTAACTTCCACCGGACAAATCCTAACTCTCCATCATAGCTGCTCTGCTTCTGCACCAAGCTGTGCATACAGATCTTTTTATTTTCATATGCGTCTTCTACAAAGTCCTCCCAAACTGTCATCTTTCAGTGCTGAACTTCATCCGATTTCTTAACAACTACCGATCAACGCAGCCACGCTGCCCTTCCTTTACAGCACATCTGATCCACTCTGAGGTCCTCTAACTGGCAGACACATGGGGGCCCTGGAGCTCCTTTCCCTTCAGTTTGCCACAGTGCCATCCACACTGTAACAGTTCATTTGCTGGATAGGACTCTAATAATGGATTTCTTGCCCTGTATTCCATGCCACATGTGGAGTCTAGGGACATCTCTTGGTCAAAACGTTGCATTACAATGCAGTTATCAGTTAAAAAAAAAGAAAGGACAAACTTCCCAAAGTTAATACAGACTTGTAATTTTATACAAAAACAACGATAACAAAAAAAAAACACAGAAAACAAAAGTCATGTTGATAAATTATGAAGATACAAAACTATCTTGCGTCTTTTTTGGAGGGAGAATATCTTTCATCAGTCATTTGGTGGTTAAAACCATCCATCCATTCCCTACATCGCTTATTCCATAAGGCCGGCAAGAGGTGGGTTACACCCTGGACAGGTCGCCACCCCATCGCAGGCCCACACAGAGACAAACAACCACACACTCAGTCACTCCTTGGGCCAATTTGGAGTGTCTCATCAACTTAACGTGCAGGTTTCTGGACGTTGGGAGGAAGCCGGAGCACCAGGAGAGAATTATCCAAACCACATCTTCCTAAGTTTACTCGTCAAAGTAACTTTGGGAAAGACTTCAAACCCTACATGTTCTTCAATGTGTCCTTTAATGTGAATTTTCCCTTGATAAAAACATGTCCAATTAATCAAATTCATGTGAGCCCCCTTTGTCATATTTATGTGTCACAGAGATTGATTTATATACTGTATATCTTTTGTCCTATGTAATTTCAAGCACTTAACTTAGGAAACGTTGTGCCAAATTTCCAATTCCTGCCGATTGTTGAGCCAACATCTGTTTGTTTATGGTCATTTTAAATTATTTACTGATTTTCCTTTATAAATATTCTTTTTTTTCTTCTTTTTCACAGTGGTTTATCAATATCACTTTCATTGCTATTTTTGCATTTCCTTTTGACCCTTTTTTAATTTGTATTGCATTAACCTGCAGAGTTCGTGTGCCCCTTGAAAATATTTTCTATATTTATTTAGCTGTTTCATATTACCTTTTACAATATTGGTATGACATCGCTTTTTGATCACATTAAATTTCAGTTAGCTTTTTTTCTCGATGTATAATTATTCTACACAGCTGTGAAAGCTCTAACTTGATGAGTCTCCAAACTTTTCATAAAAAACAAATATAAGATTTACAAAAATTACAAACCAGTTGACTTGGACGTCTTGATTTGTCATTTATATACAATTATATTAATCATTCTGAGACTTAGATTTTCAAATTTTGAAGGAAAAAACAACGTGCTGCACATTACTTGAAATTCAGATACCAAGCACCAAGTAACCTAAAACGTTTAAAAAACCTGAAACGAGTCCTTTGACGCAGAGGATATTTGCTTTTCCTGCTTGAACGTGCGTTTCTCCGCCTCTTTTTGTGACAGCTCATGTTATTGGTTTATCATATCTCTTTTAACCAATCATATTTTAGCCTTCCTCAGACACCTCTCTGATTGGCTCATCTTCATAGAGATCCTCCTCCTCTACGTGATATCCAGCTGTCTGGAGACGTGCTCGTGCAGGCAGCGCATTTGGGGGTAAACTAACCTTATTTTATGGTTTTCTTGGCATACTGTAAGAATACATTTGCCGTGTTTGAGTATGCCGAGGCAGACACCGCCATTTTAGAAGACAGCAGGGAGACAGACTTTTTTTTACTTGCATAAGGGGCGAAGCGCACTGTGGGTTTTGTAACTGTCCCTTCAAATGTCAGCTCCGTGTTTTGACCGTGTTTCACTGCAGTGTTTTGTTCAACAGCGTGGCATAAACTGTGATGTAATAAAGTTCTGACAACGTTCCTGCCGTGTGATAATATTATGAATCCTTTCGACTGTGGTGACTCGTTAAAATACCGGTGTGAGTTCAGGCTTTGGTTCGCTAACCGTTTCAAATCAACGCGTAGGAGAGACAGGTCATATCCAAACATGTCATAAACTGATATTTAATGTGTCCATCGTTTGCCTTTTCACACAGAAAAGAGAGAGCGTGTGGACTATAATGTGTTAAGACAATGTAGACACCATTATATGATTCATAGCTTTCAATTTGCACTGAGATTAAAGACATTTCTTCACATTTCACTTTTATTCATTTTAAGATAAGCAACACGATGGAAACCAAGGCTGCTTCAGAGCTCAGTTCCAACGGTGTGAATAAAGGAGGGCCCAGGATCATCGTGGATGATGACGATGAAGATCTTAGGTATGGACAAATATCCACAATAAAAGCTTTCCATGTCAAACATCCACACTGTTGTGATGGGTTAAAGTCTTCCTGTGTTCTCTATTCCTCTGTCAAGCCCAACCGACCTGTCCGAGATGTTAGCCGAGGGCACCAAGGAGTCCCACGACAAAGCCGAGAACTGTCAGTTCGTCAAAGATTTCCTCAGAGGCCGCATCAAAAGAGAGTTATTTAAGGTTGTTTAAGCCCTCATAAGAATCTTGTATAGCTATTCAGAATAATTCCTGCCCATAATGATGACTATTCTTAGCAGAGTCGTTGGAATGTCTTTGCATTTGATCAAACATGACCAAATCAGGATATATTTCACAGATGTTGTCTGTAGAGGGTGAACAGTTGTTTAAAAAGCTTAGACTTGATGATGTATTGGCTTTACTGTTTATTTGTTTAAGATGTCAACCTATTGGAACAAGGTCCTCAAGTTTTACACGATAATAACAACAAGTATTATTACAACAAGTATCAGTAACTTCAACACTCACTCAGAATCAGAGATCTCTTTATTGATATGATATAGATAGAATGATATGTTAAAACTACCGTCACCCTCAAAGACGCTTAACAGTTATCTCATATCCTGTAAAGAGCCTAAATGGATCAATCACCCTAAAATATTTGAGGTTTGCCTTTGAGACATTTACAATTCTTACTTACAACATTTAGTAGGAAATGCCATTAAAGTATTGCCAAATTTGAACATTTATTAAATGAAAATAACTGTTTAAAAAATGGTCATTTTACTTTTGGGTCTGGTCTTCTGCTTCTCTCCCTCTTCATCTTTTGTCAGAGAGGCACAGCAGCTTTATACTTCGTCTATTCAGCCATGGAGGAAGAGATGGACAAGAACCAGGAGCATCCTCACATCGCTCCAATCTATTTCCCCACAGAGCTGCACCGCCGTGAGGCCCTGGCCCGAGACCTGGAGTTTTTCTATGGAGAGGACTGGGAGAATCAGGTCAGCATCTCACAGATAGTTTAATCTGTTCTGGAGCAGAAATCTCCAAAAACCTGCTTCTTCTTGCAGGACCAGTCAAATTAATTTGCTATTCAATGAACTTGTGCCTACAAATGGCGGCCGTTATTTAGCTCGTTACTCATTGTTGTTCTTCACCAGGAGAGCAGACAGTTTCAGGGCCACTGCATTCACATATCTGCGTTCTCCCTCACAGATCAGCCTCTCTGCAGGCACCAAGCCTTACGTGGACCGCATCCACGAAGTGGGGCAGAAAGACCCACTGCTGCTGGTGGCCCACTCCTACACCCGGTACATGGGCGACCTCTCGGGCGGACAGATCCTGAAAAAAGTGGCCCAAAGGGCTCTGAAGCTCCCCTCGACAGGGGAGGGTCTGAATTTTTACCAGTTCGAGGGAATCCACAGTCATAAGGGCTTCAAGCAGCTTTATCGGAGCCGGATGAATGAGCTGGAGCTGGACACGGAGGCCAAGGAGAAGATTGTGGACGAGTCCAATCGGGCTTTTGGCTTCAACATGATGGTGAGTTAGCATGCAGGTCGCCCGGTGCACGTAAAACAGAAACACCTGAACGATAGGAAAGTGTTTTGCCAGGGTGATAAAAATATAAGCACGAGTTCTGACCGGAACCAGTAAATACGGCCACATCAGTCCAGTGCTCAGGTCTCTGCTCTGGCTTCCTGTCACTCAGAGAGTATACTTTGAAACAGCTCTGCTTGTGTACAAGTGTCTTCATGGTCAAGCACCAAAATACATTCCTGCCATGTTAGAGCCGTACGAACCAGATCGGACTCTGCGAACCTCAGGTTCTGGTCTCCTGATGGTGTCCCTCTGGTTTCCTGATGGTGCCCAGAGTCAGAACTAAACAAGGAGAGGCTTCGTTTCAGTTCCAGTTTTTTTTGTTGATTTATTTTCTTTCTTTATTTTTTCTGCTTTTAAATTCTTTGTAAAGCACTTTGAGTTGTCTTGCACATGACATGTGCTATACAAATAAACTTGCCTCGCCTTACTTCAAATGTAAAAACAGGTATTTTCAGAGCTTGAAGAAGTTGGCCAAACCATCAAAGAGGAATTCCAAGATGCCGGTCTTGGACACAGTCATGCTGAGATCATGGAGGGTGGAGATATCAACAAATGCCCATACTATGCAGCTAAAATGGGTAAGATGTTTTTCTACTGTTTATGTCACAATCTCCAAAGTAGAGAACCCCCCTGTTGAGCATGGCTAATTTCTACAGTTGTAATGTAAATCCTACATGCAATGCATAAAGTAGAAATGCTTCTTCAGGACAGCAGTGACGCCCATGGCAGCTCTAAAGATGAAACTCACAGATAGTTGGATCTGTCACTAAATGACTCCGTTCCATTTGACACCCTCTGTCTGTGGTTTGAGAAAGTAAATAGATGGACGACATCAAGCTTCCTTAAATCAAATCAGGATAAGACAGAAATAATTCTATTTGGTAACAAAGAAACAGAGTTAACCCCAGAAACATCCAGAAAAAACTTTAGTTTGTAATAGATCAAGGCTGTAACTCAGACAGCTTTTTTGCCACCTCTAACGGATCTCCATCCATCCGGTCAGTGGTCTCATGTCCATAGTGGATTTAGAGAAGCTCATTCATGCTTTCAGCTCACGCAGACTTGACCACTGTAAAGCTCTTTTGTCTGGTCTTCCCAAAACCACAGTTGGACAGCCTGTGACTCTATTATACTTTTATCTCATGTGTATAAAAACTTTCCTCTCTTTTCTCCCCTTCCAGCTGCTGGTGGGAATCCCACCTATGCGCTGCAGTTAGGAATGATGCTTCTCAGACATCCCTCTTGTCAGGTAGCTCTGGCCGCCTGGGTTGCCCTCCTGGCTGGGTTCACTGCCTGGTACCTTCTGTGAGCTCCGACAAATGCCATCTGCCTGTGTTAAAAACCCTCCAAAGTGTTTCTGTCCCAAGTTGCTCAAAGCCGTCAGATCCAGTCTGATGAGAACCCGAGCCCAGCGTTGTGATCCACTCACATTTAGCTATTTATTTATTTCCACTTTGTGGATCATATGGTTTTAAGCTCCAAAGTACAGCTTTACCCTCAAGGAAATAGGAACACGCACTCCTACAATGTAATTAAAATGTTATCACCACGAGTTAAATGAAAAATGAATAACAGTTTGCAGAGAATGAGTTCCTGTGTGAGGATGCATTCTACAAATGGTTGTAGATGTCTCAGTCAATAAACAATGATTAAACCTCTCCGTCTCTAGTCGTACCTTCAGTTAATTGCCTTTAGATGGATCTAAAATTCAATCCCGTTACATGTCAGTGTAAAAAATTTCTGAATAAACCAGTAAAATAAAACACCCCAGGGCAGATTTCAGCCAGAAATGATGAAAGCAACAATTTTCCAATCTATATTCATAGATTATTTTTATTTTTCAGCACAAACATATGTTTTTTCAGCAGAATCTTCAGGATAGTTCTATAAGTCTTTAAAGCCGATCATTTCAAACTTCCAAACACCCTCTCAAAACCCGATTTGTCAACCACTCGTCCGAAGTAAGCGGAGAAATAAAGAGTCTCTGGAGTGCTGTATCGCTTAAGTTTCATTATGGTCTCATGTTTCGAGTCCCCCGTATCACATATAGTCATCACATCTGACACGGGAATATAAATGTCCTTGCGTTTGCCCCAGAAAGTGAGGTGGGAAACTTTGAGTGTCGTCTGGGATGGATCCAGGTACATCATCCCAACAACCCTCCTGAAGAAGTAACTGGCAGAGTACAGCATAGCGCCAGCAAACAGCGCGATTCCAGTTGAGTAGCTAAGGAGTAAGAGGGAGGCGTTTCCTTTTAAGTAGAGGACATACACTGGGGGCAAGAGCACCAAAGTTATAGCTGTTTGGACAAGTTTGAGCCTTGACACAGCTCTGAGGAGCTTGATGTGTGGCAGAGTATAAATCATAGAGTACTTCTGAGTGGAAAAGTCTGAATATCTGACCGAGGCTGCGACTTTAGGTGTGAGGGGTCCACAGCAGCTCTGCTGGACTTGTGGATGACCTGGAGGACGAAGCTGCAAACCGCTAGGTATCCGACCGGTGAGTAGACATGATCCCCTTGTGCAGGACAGGAGGTTGGTAGTTGACCTGCACAGCAACACTGACCTGATCTGTGGAAAAGAAACACGGATAAGATAAGACAGTCATTTCAACCCAAAACTAATGAAATAATCATTTTTAAAAAGAATAAATTTATTTTCCATATATCCTTCTCCTGGTTGATCTCTTCTACGTGTGGATGTAATTAATTGTGACCCATTACAAAATATTAAAAGAGATAAATTTCTGGGACACAGGCAGAAAAAGGGAAGTTGGCACTCTGGTACATAACATTTAATTCAATCAAATTATTTTGCGATAGGTAAAGCAAGGAAGAAAACCGGAAAGGTACATTCTGTGAGATCAGCAGTTCCAAATTCAGATTTAGCCCCTGTCAATAAATGATGGGTTATAGAAAAGATCCGAAAACTTTGCAATTACATGTACCACTCATTTCATAAACACATTAGCAATGAAATTATCAACATAAAGCAGCAGAAATCTAAAAATATTTGACTCTTGTAATGCATGTGGCATTGGCATCAATATAATGTTTAAAACGAGAAAATACAGCCTCACCATAACTGGTGACTCGTTAAATACGAAGAAGAAGACCAGGGGAAGCTTGAAGTAGCTATCTGCAGGCTGACATGAAGCTAGCAATGACACTCTGTGACCCGGAAGTACTAAAAGCTTCCTGGCGTAGTTTTTAACTGTCTTGTTTATTCGTGTGCCCCCCTGTGGAGAATTGTAAAAATGATTTGTTTATAAAAACAAATAATCAAATTAACGTCCGTATAAGTTTGCGACAAGTGAAGCTGTGCGTAAACATTTTTTCCCCTCATGCAGTAGGTTCGTAAACACACTGACACGGAAGAGCAAAGCTGTCATATCCGCCGCTGAGTGCCCCTTTAAAGTGTTCCTGTCATACGAGAGAGGTGTTCAAAACCTTGACCATTTGGGGGGGTTTCTAAGTCGTGTCTATTTTGCTTTTAAAAACTCTTGTACACAAAACAGGGCGGAGCATGTTTCAGAAAAGGCGTTTGCAGGGCATTGTCTTTTTACGACGGTAAATGTAAATGACACATTGACGGGCTTCGGTGCCTGCACGACCACCTGCTTTTCTCTTTTCCCTGTCTGACAAAAAGAGGAAGTCGAGAAGACAACACCTCACACCAACAATGCTTCAGCTCGGGGACGAGGTCTCCCTCTACTCGCTCGTCTTCGTGGTTATCCTGCTGGGGACTCGGAGCCCGGTGTGGACGACAGCCCTCACCGCCTCCCTCTACCTGTTCCTGGCCATGTTCCGGTTCCCCCAGGTCCCAGCCGGCCGAGCCCGGCGGGTGCTGCACCCCGTCCCCGGGAAGGTGTCGGTGGTCGCTCACCGGGGAGGGGGCCACGACGCCCCGGAGAACACCATAGCAGCCATACGGGAGGTGAGGGACACCTGGGGCTTTCTCCCTTCACCTGACCGTTTGTCCACGTCCCCAAACTGTGTCATGTTTCCATCATGGAGCGAATAAATGAACGAGCTTCTCACAAAACCGACATCTTAAAAAAGAAAAAGAGAAAAGCCAAATATATTATACACATGTATGATATAAACAGGAAATATTAGGTATAGATACCCACCATTAATGGTCACACTACTGGTATGAGACCAGAGACACACAATACTATCACAGGATTGCTATCTTAATCCTTCTTTTTCATCTTTGTTGCACAGTTTCTCCTCAATTACAGGTCGGTGTACATAGATTACACCATCTGCCACAAAAAAGGGGTGAATTTCCATTTCCTTGCCTATCTGTTTTTGTCCATTGTATCAGAGGAGGCAGAAGACAAGGTGATGTTGTGTAACGCTGATGTTTTGCCGTAGGCCAGTAAGAACGGTGCGACCGGTGTGGAGCTGGACCTGGAGTTTTCCTCCGACGGCGTTCCCATACTGATGCACGACGACACCGTGGATCGCACCACCAACGGCTCCGGGCCTCTCAGCCAGATGAGGTTCGCTGAACTGAGAAAACTGGACTTAGCTGCTAAACATCGACTCAGGTGAGAACCAAGGATGATAGCTCAGAACGAGCTCATAAAGTACAAAGATTAGGGCGGAAAGTTTAAATTGATGTGCTTCAAATTGGCAGTGGCCGTCTTGATAATCGACATCTGAACAAAAGTGTACTTTAAACTCACCACTCCTTGTTTAAAATCAGTTTAAAAAGCTCGAACATCGGGCCAAGTAACTGAGACTGTCCTCAAACTGTCATCGGATTATTTGACGAGTTGTTTCAAGCGTTTTTCAGTCTCTCACTTGACTCACAAAAACTATTTTTGTGATAAACCAACAGGGACAAGTTTGCAGGAGAGAGGATCCCAACTCTGGAGGAAGCGGTGGAGGAATGCCTCAAACTGCAGCTCACCATCTACTTTGATGTCAAAGGTCATCCAGACGAGGTGCAGCCCAAAATTTTTTTAATTGATCTCCATTCAGGAAAAACATTTAATGAGGCAGAGGAGGTGATGCTGGGCTCATCATAGAGTGTGTTGATGAGGTTATTTATGTGTTGTCGTGGTGGTTTATTGCCTGTCAGTTTGCTAGCTGATCAAAGAAATACAAGAATGGTCTGCTCCATGAGGAAATATTAGTACTGCCAGCCTCTGATATAACTTTTTTGCTGTATTTGTGGAAATAACATGCAGGCCCAGTCCCTGTTGATTTACCAGCATTAAAAGCAAAAAGTGTCTGCAGTTTTAAAATCATAGGAGCCTGTTTTTTGTTTGAAAATTGGACTTATCAACCTGGGAAATAAAAAAAAAAACCCACAGAGAGATTGGAGCACGCGGTGCCAGTGGACTGTTTCTCACGCAGCACGTTGAAGGGCTTTTTTTGAGTGTCCGGCCCCGTTTGTGTCCCATGGATCAGGAATGCAGAACCGCTGGGCCCGTTGTTGCTTCTGGCAGTGGGGTTCTTTACTCCAGGACCCCACCGCGATGCATCCGTGTCCGCACAGCTGCTGGTGACGGCCGAGTGGTCGGAGGGGGACGGCAAAGGCATAAACGAAAACCCAAAAGCCTGACGCACTCGCTAACCTTTCATTCCTTCCCACCCAGGCAGCCGCTGCCCTCAGAGACTTGTATAAGAAGCATCCGGGCCTGTACAACAGCAGCATCGTCTGCTCCTTTGAGCCCAAAGTCATCTACAGGGTAAGGGGGCTCTGCCGGTTCTGTTTGCCTAAGCAGTTTGAAGGGATTTGGGTGTAAGGGATGTGGGATGGAAAAAAAAATCAAAGCTGCTTCACTTCACTTGTCTTTATTTTATTATACCTTTAAAAAAATACACAGTTGAGGTTTTTCTGGTAACAAGGATATTGCCAATCTATCCATCCATTATTGTAACAGTTATTCTCTAATGGGGTCAATAGGCGAGAGGCAGGGTCATCCCAGACGGTCTGTCAGTCCATCACAGAGACACACAAGGACCAACAACCACTCGCACTCAGTCCTAAGGGCCATTTGGAATGTCCAATAAACTTAACATGCAGGTTTTTGGACGGTGGGAGGAAGCCGGAGAACCCGGAGAGAACCCACGCAGACACAAGGAGAACATGCAAACTCCACACAGAAACGTCCTGTTTTCCCAGAACCCTCTGACTGTGATGGTTCTAACCACCACACCACCGTGCCGCACTATAGCCAATCCGTGTCCTTTATTTCCGTCTTGCAGCAGTTAGACACGTTTGTGTTACAGTACTGACAGATGTATTTGCTGTGTAGAACGCTTTGCTGTGGCCTTCAGCAACTTTTTTTTTTTTTTTTTCCCTCTTCCAGATGAGGCAGAGCGACCCCGAAGTGGTCACCGCCCTGACCCACCGGCCGTGGAGCCTGAGTCGTCTGGGAGACGGAGCTCCGCGTTTCCCGGCGGCGTGGAGACACCAGTGGATGACGCTGATGGACGTCTTGCTGGACTGGGCGCACCATCACCTTCTGTGGAGGCTCTGCGGCGTCTCCGCCTTCCTCATCCAGAAGAACTTCGTGTCGCCGTGAGTCTTTTTTGAGCGCCCGAGCCTACGATAACCACAGCAGTTTACTCCATCAAAGGAACATTGTGAAGTAATTTAAGTATATCAGCTAAAACCATTTTCTTCCTTTATAAATGTGTCCTCATTTGGTTTAAAATGACCTCAGCAACGATCTGACTTCTCTTCATAAGCGAAGAAGTTCCTGTCTGTATATACAGTGGACGGGTATGTCCACGGAGGTTTCCATGGCGTTCCGCCATTTTGAAAAACTATAATAACAGAGAGGGACACAAAGCACTTGTCTGCCTGTCTAGCTAATCCACGAAGTGTTTTCGTTCAGAGCCAGAGTCACGTGACAGACATTGACATTTAAATTAATTCATATTTTAATTAATTAAAAAAAAATTTTTAAATTAAATTACAAACCTCATCACCCGAGAGAAAACTCCAGATGAGCTGACTGTGTGAGGATGTCCGGTGGCTGAGCTGACAAACACCCCGTTCTCCCCGTGTGCTGGGCAGGGACTACGCGCAGTACTGGGCCCAGAGGGGGGTGGAGGTGGTGGCCTGGACCGTCAACACCAGAGTGGAGAAGGAGTACTACCAGGAGCTGCTGCACGTCAACTACATCACCGACAGCCTGGTGGAGGACTGCGAGCCCCACTACTGAGTCCCACCTCAACCCATCCTCATGTAAGACACTAGGTATTCATAATAGAGAACTTTTCAGTCACTTACTCATCGTCCCCAGGCGGGAGCAGGTAAGAGAAGATCTAACCACGTCTCCTCTTAGCTCACAGTTCAAACTGTGAGCTCACAGACGTAGTCCAACTCATGAGCTTCAGTTCCTAACTTGTTAATAAAAGGCCAAGTAACACGTTTTTTCGTCACTGGAACACTTTAATGACAGGGTGAACATTTGTATTCGGTGTTTGGTTCATCTGGTGCAGACGTGTATCACACACACACTGTACGCAACAACTCAGGATGACGGGATTTCCTTTTTATGCTAGTTGGGTCTGTTTTTCTGCTTTAGTCTTTCAAGGCCTAGAAAACGCGTTGTACGTTTTGCCCACTTTTCTGCACATCTCCATTGCTTGCGATATTCAGAGCACCTCGGATGCGGGGGGGGGGGGGCATCTCAGACCAATCAGAGCAGTGCACCAACTATGGCTGAGGAGGTGCCAAAACAGGGGTATCTCTTAGTATCTGTTCTGTGGTTTCATAGCCTTAATGAATAATTAGACATCATACCTTGTAATAAAAAAGCAGAAATGTTCATTTGAAGCAAAAAACACTACCTAAAGATCATTTTTACTACGTACAAAGGATGTACACACATTCAAAGTCAGTATAAACATGTATCGAGATATTTAAGTAAAACATTTGATATATGATGTACACTTATGTGGTTTATGACCCCGAATGATAAGATTAGGGAATAAATAAGTTAATAAAATTTTAATTAGTTCTAGTGGAAAAAAATGTCAAGACAAATAAAAGATAATTATTGTAAATATGTTCATCTCTGTGCATATTTGAATATTTCTATGTGTATATTGTATGGATTATGGAACGATCAATACATATATGGGTATAATATAACATAAATGTGTGCTTTTTTCCCTGAAATATAAACAAAAATGTCTGAATATGATTTAACATCATAGAGCATCAACCATCCAAAAAGCCTTCCGTTAAAATAGTGGAATCCAACAAAAACCAGGACAGCAAATGTGCTTTGGGACTCTGGTTTAAGATCTTTCTATCCTTTTTTCTCCTTTTTTTTTCTAAATGTAATTTCACTCTATTACTTTATTTAAAGCACTTTTTTCTTTGACTCTAAATGCCTTCTCTTTACTGCTGAAACACTTTAGGTGCTAATAGAGAGAAGAAATGTGAATTATTAATTAATATGATTAAAGTTTATAAAAAAAATGTTGGGACAAGTTTGTAATCGATTTATTTAAAATGTGTGAACATATGAAAAATCTGACCAATACCAAGGGAAATAGTAATGCTGAAATATTCTTGATTTATATATAAATGTGTGTTTATATTTCCACATTTATATCAACTTTATTTACAGAAATGTACAAACGTATTTTCTAGTTGATATCTGATCTGTAGAGTGACATTTTATGCACGGTACACCTCAACAGAAGTTGAGCTGTTTCTGGTTCTGAATGACATCAGAAAATGAGCTCAGAAGTACAAACATAATTAATGCCACTAAGAATCTGGTGCAAAAGTGATCAACGCCAGCAAACCAGTGTCTGTGACAGTAGGGCATCTTAACTGGGACGCCAGCTGTAATTAAAACTGTATAATTTAAAAAAGCTCAATAGAATTTGCCTCTTAATCCCAGTGTTCGCCTCACTATTTTACAGATAAATGATTTCTATTTATTTTCACGTGGTCTTTTGTCTTGAATGACGAGGAACATTTGACTTCGTACGATGCATTTTGTGTGGGAAATATCTATTAAATATTCACTTTTGATTTAAAAAGGTCAGTTGAGGTCACTGCATGTTTTTGTCCCCTCCAAAAATTGAACTTTTCAAGCTCAGATTCTTCAGTGGATTCCTCACTTGTGCAAACAATGGGCATTTTAGGAGAGCGTCAAAAATACTTAGGGCAGAGAAGATGAGTATTCTGCCCGAGAATGGAACACCTTAATAAGGATAAACACGATTTATTCAAGTGAACTGGACACAAAATATTCTATAAAGGTTTCTGCTGTCCAAAAGCAGATCTTTTGGGCCTTGTGCATCTTTGCCTTTAAGCCTTTGTATTGTGGACTGTTAGAGATTACTTCCCGCTCTTGCAGATTCAGGTGACTTGCCCCAGATAGTACAGATAAATTTGGGGGGGGGATATCACCCGGATAAGCCTGTCTGAGCTGCTTCTTGTCCCGGCTGATCCTCCAGTAAAGCTAAACCCAGACTGTCAGCTCACACTCAGGGGATTGACACCTGGGCAGCAAAGCGCCACCTGCCCTAATGACTTTTAAATCTCAGCTGGGCGCTCATCAAACCGTCCAACTTCTTTTCCAAGGAAAAACATGACCGAAAGGCCAAAAAGTGATCTGACTTTTAGATTCATGCGATGCGAAAGAAGACCAAGAGACAAAAGCAGAAAAAAACAAAAAGGATTTACTGTATTTCTGAGTTCTTTCTGCTCACAGCACTGTGTGAGCAGGCTTTAATGGGTGAAAGGTGAGCGTCCAGTCAAGGGGGGGGGGGGGCGTTCTGTGACGTCACTAGGAGGCGGAGGTTGCCCCGGCCAGAGGTAAACAGAAGAAACCAGAGCGGAAACGGGGGCTCTCCCCCTTACAAATTAAAACTGCTCGGAGTGTGGAGCCTCCGGGTCCCTGAAAGCAGCACTTGTTCTGAGCATGCGCAAATAGCTCAGAGCAGATTATGAACTGATTCAAGGAAAAAACACAACTAGACTTACTGTCTGTAACTCTCCAAGTAGAGAAAAACATAGATGGAGAATTGAGCCAATGAAAGATGACCCATGTGGCTATAGCTATGATAAGAAAACTTTTGCTCATGTTTGATTTGAATGGAGGAAGTTTAGAAATGATGAGCTTGCATGTTAGAAAAAGATTAATGCTGCAGGATTTCAGGTAAAGAAAAATACATTTCTACATTGGATTCTATGCAAGATAATGTGATCGTGAAAAAAAAAGGAATAGCTTCTGTAAGAGATAAGGAGTTCAAACACTATTCAAATTGCACCCAAGTATTTAGCACTGCACAGCACAGGGAAAATCTACCCTCACCCAGCAGCTTTAAAAAACCCATCATATTTATAAAGAAAACAAAATGTACAACCACATAACATCAGACATAAAACATAAGTGTGACATATAACGTCAGACTTCTGGTAGGAAGAATATAAAAAAGCTCCAAACAAGAAGTTTTGTGAATCTTCAGGTCAAAGGTCCTGCAAATGGGATGTTCACTTAAAAAATGCCTAACGCTAGCTTCTACACTTGACCTTTTCCTGTCATTCTTAAACTTTGGAAATTGGGATTTGTAAAGTGGGAAGAGTGGGATTTGTCTTTTAAAAATGATATCGTCTTGTACTATTAGATTCCAATATTTAGAAGAAAGAAAATAAAACATTTGTCGGGATGACCAAACCACTCCATTTTGATTACAGTTTATAAAGATTGTTCATCTTTGTTTGAAATAAGAAGATCAATCGTCTATTCAAAGGTGATGTAAGAAAAGCTTACGAAAGAGAGACACCGTCTTTATTTTGAAATCTCAATACCGGAAGTGTCGCTAACCATTGTGGCTAGCTTGACGCTGGCTGAGCGCGTAGCTTTTGCGTCCGGACTGTCAGAGAAAAGTGAGCCGTGTTTGTGGTCAGCTGGTCAGGTGAGCGCGTGCTGCTGGACCTCCGAGGCAAGACAGGACGCTGCGTCCGGACCCCCACGTCCCCCCCTTAGTCCCCCCCCCCCTCCTCCCCGCTCCCGGGGGCCATCAGGAAGTGTCCGCCCCCCCGCCTCCCGCCGGTGCGTCCCGGGTGTTTGGACCTGCGTTTTCTCCTTGAACGACCTACACGCGACGGGCACGCGGGGACCCGAGCAACCTGGAGACCCTGAGAGAGGGTGGGGGGGGCAGTTCCAGACGAGATTCATGCACGTTGAGGGGGGGGGGGCTGACGCCAGGCGACGAACCCAGAGGAGCCTTATTTGACCTGTCCGTTTAACGCAACAGGACAGGAGAGGAGAGGGACAGGAGAGGAGGGGAGGAAGGAGGGAGGGGGGGGAGTTTTTCTTGCGGTTTTGCGGAGCTCCCATGATGTACACGATCACCAGAGGTCCCAGCAAACTGGTTACGCAACGGAGGACAGGTGAGGGGCCGCGCGCCACCCCGGAGCGTGACGCAACGGAGCGGCCAGGTCCAGTTGCGTCATTCTGCGGATTCTCCGCACGGTAAAAGTGAGCTGAGCGTGAAAAGTGCACGCTCCCAACAGCTGATACCCCCCCCCCGTCCCCCCCCCCCCCCCCCCCCCCCCCCTTAGGTCCCACGCAGCAGGTCGAGAGCAAGTTCAACGACTTGAAACTCCAGCCCAAGTCCTGGCTCACGTCAACGTAAGTACAGTAGCCCTGGTCGGTGTTTTTTGTGTCGTTATGCTTTCTTTATTTTTTCTTCTCCTTCTTCTTTGCGCGTTGGTCCTCGCAGCGTGGGCCCCAAAATATATTCCACGTGCACCGGAGGAAGGGAGGGAGGGGGGGGCGATCATGTAACAGCCTGCTTCCATTATCGGACGCAACTTTCTCGCTGCGTCTTTGCTGGACTTCTGCAGGTGGATCATCAGGTGTCATCTGTCCGGGTGGAGGTGGGTGGGGGGGTGGCTCCGGCCCCCGTGGCACGATCTTCGAGGGTTTTGCCTGGTGGCCTGGAACATTCCGGTGTTTGCTGACACCAAACAAAGGAGCAATTCTGTTTTTGATAAGACCTTTTCTTTTCTTTTTCTTAATTTTTGTTCCACTGCTTCATATGGGCTCAGCTTAAGTTAAATAATCACAGTGTGCCTGCATCATATTGTGTGTTGTCGTTCACTTAAAGTGGTTTGTTTACCTGGTATTAAACTCATCATTGTTACTTTTGTTCCTACTGGAACAGAGATGGGTTTTTACTTTGTTCCCCGAACCACTGGCGGCAAAATGAAAAAAGTTATCATAAAAGAAATAAAGACGGTGGACCATGTTCTGAACGCTTATAACAGAATCCAGAGTAGCTTCACCTGTGCCGTGCCGTTAAAACCCATTTACAAAGCAGAGGTGCACCTGGAGTTATTAATTTATTTATTCATTTGGTTTTTGCACATGTAATTAATGAACCAGCCTGAGGCCTCAATGGCTAACAACTCGATTAAAGCCATAAACCTCCTTTGTAAAAGAAAAATAAATGGGCTTTGCTTTCCGGTGACGTTTCCTTTCTGTTTTGTTTTGTTGGCCCAAAACCACAAGCTGCCGCTCTGCATTCGTCCCTGTTCCCTCTCCCCCTCCAGCTCTCCGCCCCCGAAGATCGTCTTCAACCGGCTGAACGGGAGGCGCCAGCAGGCCGCCGCCGCACAGAGGAGCCAGACCCCGGCCGAGGGCTTCACGCCGGCGCACGAGGAGAACGTCAGGTTCGTCTACGAAGGTGAGGCTCCACCCCCGAAAGGCTGGGGGGGACGTGGGGTCAAAGCGGAAGGTCAGATGTCCCGGTTTGACCTCGGAGGTTTGGGCAGGTCTATGTCCCGCCGGCCAGCTGAATCCCAGTAGCCGTTCTCCTTTATTTTTTTATCTAAAGTAAGATTTCTAGGTATTTACCTCTACCCCCCCTCTCTTTCACTGGTCCCCTCTACCTCTATCTCTTGCTGTCACTACTGACTCTGATCAGTGTTTCTCCTCTAAATATCTTATTGTCATAGTAATGAGAAATTTAATATTGTGTCTACTCTGTAAGTCGCTTTGGATAAAACTGTCTGCCAAATGCATAAACATAAACATAAACATTTAAGTCTTAAAGCCAAACTATTTTTTCCCTTTATTTTGACCGGCCTCGCCCAATAAAATCAAATGTAGACATGATCCCCTCCTTACAATGATATGAATGGCTATTGGGGTTAGGTACTAATGGAGGTGGGACTGAAAACGCAAACATGTCAAGCATGCGTGTGCTGTGGCCGGTCCAAACCCTGCCTGGTGTTCACAGTATGGCAGGAGGTGGAGAAGAAGCTGGAGGACGGAGACAGAGGAGAGTCGGCCGACGCTCCGGGGCCCGTTCAGTACACCGAGAAGACCCCCAGTGCTGTGATGAAAAGTAAGTCCTCACACATAAAAATTAAAAAAAGGAAACTCATAAAATCTGATGTCTTTCTGGTTAACAGCGGCCTAACTGACGGGCCACCGTCTGCTCTCTGAGCCAGTGATCTCACTTCTGTTTACTATGGCTGTTGAAACAGCCTGCTTTAATCTTTAACTCCTCTTTTCTTTACGAGGACCCGGTTGTTCCAGATAAACCGGCACAGGCACGTCTACGCTTTTATTTGCAGCAGATTGAATTCTTCTCTGAACAAGCCGCCAGATCCTTTAAAAAGAGATATAAGGCTTTAACTAGTTTAAGGCTGTATTTTCTTAGCGAAAAAACATCTTTCCAGTTTCATTCCATCTGTCTCATCAGGGTAAAAATGCCTGTTTAAAACCAGTGTGCCGATGTAAATCCTTAATATTTCTATTTTCAACCCAAAGTTACCTAAGATATCCAAACTGCTTCAGTTGCAGCAAAAAAACAAAACAAACAAACCAGTGTGCCGATGTAAATCCTTAATATTTCTGTTTTCAACCCAAAGTTACCTAAGATATCCAAACTGCTTGAGTTACAGCAAAACAAAAAACAAAGTTAACTTAGTTTTTTTGCTGCCTCTTTATGATTGCTCACCTATTTTATAACAGTTTCCTTTTACATGGATTCTATTAATCATTGACGCGGGCAACATAATTCTAAATAGACAAATGGACTCAGTCTTCAAATGAGATTAGCCTTTAATCCACGTCCCCCCCACCTCTCGCCCCTCTCCCCACCTCTCACCCCTCCTGCAGACTTCGTGCCTATAGACCTGGAGGAATGGTGGGCTCAGCGCTTCCTCGCCAACATCGCCAACCTGTCGTGACTGCGTGAGGCCGCTGCCCCTCTCCTGACCCCCGGGCTGGAGGGGGGGGGGGGGGCGGGATCCCCGGGATCCGCATCGTCGGCCGGGATTCGGAATCCCCTCCGATGCCTCGTGTATTGGCTCTGGTGTAGAGAAACCGGGCCACACTGCACAAAACTGCCCCCCCCCCAACCCCGACCCCCCGCCCTCACCCCCCCCACTCCTCCAAGATTGAACAGCAGCGACCTGACGGAGAACTCGGACAGCAGTGACTTTTACGGCGTGCTGCGTTTAAGGACCCGCGTCTCTACTCTACTTGAATGATGTTCTGTGAAGATGTGAGATTTTTGGTCTCCTTTCTTAAAAAGTGTGCTCGCCTCTGTGTACGTGTTGGCAGGTGTTTGAGAATGAAGTAAAATGTTTTTCAAAAGCCCACCCCCGCCCCCCCCCGCACGGCGGAGAGCCTTTTCTTATTCATTAGGCCGGGTTTGACCCAGAGAAAGCAGAGGACGGCCTAAGGCTGAGGACGAACGAGTCAGATATGCTTCTAAAATCTGACAAACATTTCAGATTTTTTTTTATTTCAACAACAGAACCTTTAAAAAAACGAACAAAAAAAACACTTAAAGATTTAAAAGCTGTCCAGACGAAACACATTGTGTGTATTTTAAACGCCATAAGTCATAATTTAACAGGAAGTAAAATAAGCGTTTTTTTTGGGGTGGTCTCAAGACGCGGTGGAACCGGCCTTCTTCCTGCCCCCCCCCCCCCCCCCCCCCCCGCCCGCCCTGGCGCCCCGCTGGCGGCGGCTGCGGCCGGGCGGCGGCTGGCCCGGCCTGGCCGTGGTGAAGGTGATGCACTGGGAGTCCAGGTAGTCCACCAGGCGGGCGGCGCCCAGCCGGACGCCGGCCGCCCGCAGCTGCGCCTGCAGCTGGGACAGCACCAGCGGCCGGAACTGCAGGATCTGGCCGTACAGCCGGCTGTCCGACAGGATGAAGGAGCGCACGGCCTGGAGGCGCTCCTGCAGCCGCTGCCCCGCCTGCGAGCACGACACGCCGCCGTCGCTGTCCGACTCGCCGTCGGAAGACGCCGGCCGCTCCGGGTTGGTCCTGGTTTGACGGGAAATGGAAGAGTTGACGATACGAGCCGTGGGAATTCCTCCCATCTAACGGTGAAACTGAATTCTGCATCCTAACAAATCCTGCTCTCTGGCGCCTCCGTTTTCAAATGGATAGAGCAAATACGGTAGCCATTATGCATCGAAAAGTAATGACATGACTTCCACATCATAGAGTTTTCTCTAGGTGATGAGGTCTGTAATTGAAAAGAAATTACAAACTGCATTGAATCATTAGTGGAAGCGTGTCATTACTTCCCAAACAGCATAGCATAGTGTCAGTCACGTGACTGAACGAAAACAAATTCTGGATTAGCTAGACCGGTAGACTAGTGCTTTATGTCCCTCTCTGCTATTACAGTTTTTCAAAATGGTGGAAAACCATGGACACACAAATTCTTCGCCTATGAGGAGAAGTCAGATCATTGCCGAGGTCATTTTACACCAAATGAGGACACATTTAGAAATGAAAAAGATTTTAACCAATAAATACTTAAAATACAACACAATGTCCCTTTAAGCATCCGTAAAACAAAGTGGGAAAAGCTTGGCGAAAAGGGAAAAAAAACCCAGACAGACAAAACCAGAGGGCCGTCCACAAACCTCTCGGACTCTCCGCTGCTGATGGTTGAGGAGGCGTTTGAGCTCTGGGAGGCACTCAGCTGCTCCGCCTCCTCCTCCCGGGAGTCCTTGGCGGGGGAAAAGCCGGCCGGTGCCGCGGGCTCTTTGAACGCGGGGGCAGCGCCCCTATGGCCCGGCTCCTCGTCCTCTGAGCCGGAGCTGGCCAGCTGATGCGTGTACTGGTGGATCTCCTTCAGCTTCAGGACCATCTGACGCTTGGGCAGAGGCCGGACGCCAAACCTGTGACACGCGGTGGGGCGGTTGGAGGAATTTGGGACTTGAGAAAGGAAAAAAAAAAAAAGCGTTGCACCAACCTGTCCAGTTTGTTCTTCAGCTCTGGCGTGTCCATGTCCGAGTAATGGGGCATCGGAGTGATGGGCACCATGGACTGCTGGCGCTTATTCCTGAATGATACTGGAAACAGACGGGTTTGTCTTAGTCTTTCTGCTGGTACCACATGCTCCTAAAAGCAGGCAGTTAGACTTTCTTCATCCATAACTACACCCAAAATGCACATGTAGAAACGATGCTCACCATATAAAGGAGTTCATTAATGAGGGAACTGAGAGAGGATTTAGTTTTTGCCTTATCCAGGGTGAGGATTTAAGGAAGGAGGGTGCTCTGTGCTTCACAGACCTGATAGCCCCTTGTGGTTTATCATATTAGTCTATACAAGTCTAGTAGATTAAAGTTGCCGTGTTAAATTAATTTAGCAAGATTTTATCTGCTAATATTAATTAGCAGTTTCTTTCAAAAGAAAGGAAAAAAAGCAATACTTCTCAGATCCACATCAGCCTGCACACTTAACAACACACAAGGGAAACGAATAGTGTTTTGTTAATAAATCAAAATCTATTCCAGTCGGATTAATATTCAGGTTGCACAGTTACAGACTTCTTTGCGGTTCGAGGACAGATCTATGGGTCTGTCCTGAAAACACTGATGCTGCCACCCCCATCTTTGGTATTAACAATAAATTGAGGAGTGGCTTGTGCTGGTCTGTCTTAAAAGCTTTTCTGTCCATTCAGCCATGTAATTGGTTCAACTGAAGAACTTTTTGCTGAGTCACTGTAATGGATTTGAGCTTTTACTGGCATTGTAACAACTGAACTGTGAACTCTTCTCACACGATCTGATTAGGTTTTTTTTTCTAGCCATTCTTTTTTTTAACCTCAATAATAAGTTCGGACGCATGCTGTGATTAAAGGCACAGAGGAACACACCTGGGGTTTTGAGCTGAGCGGCGGAGTGGATCCTCCTGGACAGTGGAACGTCCTCCTCCTCCTGGTCTTGGTCCTGGTCCTGTTCCTCCTCCCAGCTGTCCCAGATTTTGGAGTCCAGGAGGCGGCTGTCGATCTCTGGCGTGGCGCGTGTGCTGGGCTCGGGCGGGGGTGGGGGGGAGGGGGGTCCTCTCTGGGGCAGCGGGGATCCTGCACCAGGTTCCCACCTCGGACTGAGGAGGCCTGGACTGGCCTCTGCGCAGGCGTCCAGACCCCACGAGTCGTTGAAGGCGATCGGGGGCTCGTCCACAAAACTCTGCCGGAAACTGGACTCTCCAACATCTGCCTCATCTTGCTCTTGGACGCCACATGTGGCCTGATTGTTGGTACTCGTTTCTATATTTTCTCCCGTGTTTTTCGCCTCTGTCCTGCTGGAGTTAGCAGAACCAGAGGACTCGCCTCGTCTCTTTGAGTCTCCGTCGCCAGCATGAGAAGAGGAAGAGGCCGGATCCGAACTGTTGGACATGGAGGAGAGATGGAAGCTTCCGAGCTCCGTCTTCTCTGAGCTTTCTGAGGAGGCCCTCCTCTTGCTGCGGCTGGATGAACTCCTCTCACCCGCGCTGGCCCGGAGAGGGGAGGCGGCGGGGGGAAGGAGAGAAGAGTGGGGCTCCGTGTGCAGGGGGGTGCTGCTGCTGTACGGTCGGGGAGGGGTCTCCAGCGTGGAGGAGACCCGGGCGGAGTGATGGCGGGTCAGGGTGGCGAGGACTTCTACACCCTCGCTGACGTGGCGAGTTTTTTCTAGGACGTTCCTCTGACTCTTGAGCGGTAAAGCAGAGGGTGGAAAAAAGAAGGAGGAGGAGGAGGAAGGGGGAGAGGGGTGGCCTCTGGGGAACAGCTGCGTCCTGCGCATGGAGCTTTTGGTCTGGGTGGAGCTGCTGGCCGTGCTGACCCCCGCCTGGACCGGGGTGGAGGGGACCAGCCAGGAAACCTCCGGGGAACAGTCCGCCGGCACGCCGGGGCTTAAGCCCAAGTCGCCGGAGCCCCTGCCCTTTGGACCAACCGCCTCGGGCGTTTGATTCTGCCTGGACCGGATCTCTGTGTAGCTCAGCGGGTCTGGGGACTGGGGGGCCGGTCCGTGAGAGCTCGGGACGGCCACGCCCGCTTCCAGGTCCTCACTCGAATCGGACAGAACTATGAGCTCGGGCTCCTCGCTCTTTCGGGGAGAATCGGGAGAAAGGGGGATGCATATACTGTGCGGACCTTGGCTCTCTCGCTTCGAAGCGTCTCGTTTTTGGTCTCCAGCCCCCTCGAGGCCCCCCTCTGGGCCTGGAGACTGTCCTGCCATGGGCAGGCTGGACACTCCGGCCGGGGGGCAGAGGGAAATGTCACTGGCCCCACTAACTGATGACTGAAGCAAAGACCTGCCCCGCAGTTCAGATGGCTCATGGAGGGGCCGCGGCTGCCTGGGGTGAGAGGGGGATGTTCTGAGTGGATCGGAGGGAGAGGCCGAAGGGGGGGGGTCTTCTGCCTCAGGGATGCCGTCTGAAAAGAGGCGGCTGTAGCTGCGGTCCAAGCTGTGGTCCGGCTCCAGGTTTCTATCGCCGAAGCCTCTCGTGGCTGCGTCTCCGTCCCCTCCCTCCTCACCCGTCCCCTCCTCTTCCTCGCCGTCTGTCTCTTCCCTCTTTTTCTGCGTGGCTGCAAACTCGTAGATCTCCTCCAGCTCGGCCTCGTTCACGCGGTCCTCGCAAACGTCCCTGTCGCCCGGGGTGACCCCGTCGTCGTGGCGATCAGCTCCCGACGGTCTGCCCTCGCCCCCTCCTCCGTCTGAGTCAGTCCCGCCCTCGTCATCATCATCATCATCGTCGTCTTCATTCCACATGGATCGGAGGAGCTCCATGAAGGCCTGGTCCGTTTGGTGGCCGGCATTCTGCTCCCGATCCATGACGTGCTCTTCGTCTCCTTCGGCCGCTGCCTCCTCCTCCAGGTGGAGATGACAGAGCTGCTCCAGCTCGTTTAAGTCGAATCTTAATAGACAAATAAAAAAAAGAGAAAGAAAAGGAGAGGCTGCGTCAGAAAACAAAAGCAAAAAATGACAAAGACTTTGCTTTGTGCTTGTTTTTTCTGATCTTAGCTACAAACGGACAGACCAAATAGAGAACAAAAATGAAAGAGGGTCACACATTAGACTGCTTACACGGTTAAATTTGGACTGAATAATCCATTAAGCATCAACAGATGACTAAAACCGCAAGAAATCCACCCACCCGTACTCACGAATGTGGGTTTAAAATACCGTAGAATTCTCGGGCTTCCTTTTATCTTTAAGAAAAATAAAAACCTATGAGCTAACCTCCAGGCCAGCTCCAGGACGTGGGGCCGCAGGGATGCTGGGATGGAGCACTGGGCGGTGTAGAGGTACTGCAGCAGAGCCAGCACCGCCCCCCCCGGCACCTCGCTCAGCAGCACCCTCTGAGCGGCGGGCACGCCTTCCTCCCGCACCCCAAATCCACTTTCATGCACCTGCGAGGAGTAGGGAAAGACGTATTAACATACTCTGCGTCATTCTGTGGTTTTCAAATAAAACTCTTTTAATTACGCCATAAAAACTGCGATACGCCGTTGTGGGGACTTTACCATTTCCGCCAGCAGGGGGCAGCGCGCGTACACCATGAAGGAATGCGCAAAGAAGACCTCTCCGCTGTCCACCTGAAGCTGCACATCACTCAGCTGAGGGTTGTTCACCATGCTGCTCATGTCAGCTGCCAGCCGGGACAGCGCAGCCTACGGGGGAAACACCAGCAAGACCAGTTCACCTCGTCCCAGCAAGAGTCTGCGTCCTCTCAGTTTGGAATACAGTATAACCTCTACATCTGAATATAATTCGTTCCGGGACCTACTTCGTATGTTGAAATATTCGTATGTTGGTTCAAATATTCCCATAAGAATACACTGTGATTTGTATAATTCGTTCCACATCCCCAATTACAGTAAGTACCGTAACTTACTCTAACTTTCACTAACTTTAAACTAACTTAGCTTACTTATCTTTATTTTATTTTTATATTTAACATCTAATTAAAATTATCTGGACTTTATTCTTTATCTCGTTATTTTAATAACATGTAAACAGACATATTTTTGATGGAGTAAAAAAACAAGAAAAACAATATGTCACATGCAAAAGAAGGACTGTTCCTTACTGGTAGGTGGCTGCCACCGTCTCTCTCTTCTCTTGGCTGATCAGCCGTCTGGCTGTGGGTGTTTTGGGAGGCTTTCTGGGTCGTTTCCAGCAGGAAGCCACTGGCACAGAGCTCAGACTGGTCCTCAGACTCCTGAATGAAGCCGCTCAGACGTTTGTCTGCAAAAAAAACCCAGAGATCGTCGGGACTGAAATGGTGCCAAACTGATTTACTCCTGAAAGCAAACTGTGCTTAGTCTACATCAAATTGGAATACTGAAAATGTAGTCATTTATTCTAAACAACGTCAAAGCCCCTTTATTTGAAGTTTCTGACAGTTTTAAACTAATTTCGTAAAACCATTTATTCAGAGTAAAACTAGATTCATTATTCAACTCAATGAGTCTGCACATTTTCCTCAAATTCTTTTGAGTCAATTTGTGAAAATAGCCCTGTATGGAGATCGTGTTCTGTGTGCCCTACCTTTAGAGGAATATCCATATTGCGTTAGGGTCATTCCATCTTCAGCCAGCTCCATCAGGTCCCTGAGAGCCTGGCTGGGCACCGGGAGCTGCCCTGTGCCGGGAGTGGAGGGTGCGGAGGGGCCGGAGGCCGCCTGGGAGCAGGATGGCAGGATGGAGGTCCTGGTCCCTGTAACCACGGCTCCCTCCCCCACAGCCTGAGGGGATGGCTGCGGCACGTCGCTCGCACTTGATGAAGCTCCGTCGATCTAAAGGCGAAGGGGAGTGATGAATTCAGCTCCGACTCGCAGTCGCTGGCATTTATTAAAAAGGCTCTAACTTGGTAAAGGTCAGAATAAAGCGTAAAAATCTCTGGCGTGTCTCACTGGCTCTGGAGGGGTGAAGAACCCCCTCAGCTCTGCAGCGTAGAACTCCGACGGGCCAGCGGAGCCTCCGTCCAGCAGTGTGCTTTTCAGCCAAAGGGGGGCAGCGCCGGTCCAAGCGGGCAGGGCGCTGGGGCTCCGGGTGGGGGTGGGGGGGGGAGGGGGGCCGGCCGCGCAGGAGGAGAGCAGAGACACGCTCCTGGAGCCTGTTCAGGGCTGCCTGAGCATCCTGAACCAGGAGCATCGGAGGGGGGCGGGGGGGCGCCGCCTTCTTCCTCTTTCCACGCCCTTTACCTGCACCTGAACAGGAGATGGAGAGGGGGGGGCACTGGTAAATAATAACAGCAATATGAATAAACTGGATAAAACCTGTATAGTAATTCGATGTTAGAAATATGTAGACCCATTTGTTCCCATCGTTAAGTGAACCTGCTTATAAAAGCAAACCTCAGACCTGTGCTCAACTGAAGAGTCAACCTGTAACCTTTGCCCTCAACACACCTTTTTATACACACACACAGACACTCACACACGTGTGTGTAAAACTGTGCCGTTCCCAAAATGCTGCAGCTAAAATGTCAGAAATAAAACCTAACAGCAAAGGAATACATGCAGTTCGGGTAAGACAACGTGACACTATAACCAAGTTCATAACTGTAAAAGCTACCTTTTATAAACATTTACAAATAGTGGATTACATTTTTAACTCTGAATGACATAATTTCCTCTCAGAAGACTTATTAATGAGTAAATAGCAACTTTGTTGATTGTTTAGTGGTGGCTTTGCAATCGAACTTCTCAAATTACACTTAAGAGTTGTCCTTTAGTGGTGATTAAGAACAGAATAAATAAAAGAATAAATCAAAATAAATGCAATTTCATCATTACACGACACTGACCAAAAACAAAGAGGTTCGTCACGCAAACTAATCAAATTCCTCTGAAAGATTTAGGTCACTTTGGACATTAGCAGAGTATTTCTTCGTGACCATACCAGCATCTGTCCTCCACTTCAGCTGATGAGTCGTGGAGCTCTGAGAGGGCTCAGAGCCCGTCGGCACACCTCTGTCTGCTTCCCTCAGGTCCTGGTGCTCCATCTTCTGTTCCTGAAGGGAAGACGACAGAGCCAGGGCGACCATGGTCTCTTCATCCAGAGGCTCGGCCTTCTTTTTTAGCCTTTTCCTCGTATGAGAGCCTGCTTTGGTTGGGCCTTTCCTTTTAGTGCCCACAGTTGGTATGCTGGGGAGAGAGAGAGACAGGGAAAGAATTTTAAAAAAGGCAGCAAATTAGCTTTTGTTTGGCCTTGCACTGGTGAACCTTTAAATCGAGCCGTTATCAGAATGAGAGGTTCTCACGGTGCGTTAGTCGGGGGGGCGCTCTCTTCGGCCTGTCTCTGCACAGCCTGCAGCAACGCAGCCGGTGAGACTCCCATGTCTCTGGAGCAGCGCTTCAGGTGGGCCGAACGGCTTCCCTTTGACTTAAACTTCATCCCGCAGATGGGACAGTCAGGGACACCAGAAGGGGGCGGAGGGGCCAGGCCACTCTGCTCGCACTCATCCAAACATCTGCAAAATCAGACATACTACACTCAACATTTAAACTTTCGGGTCAAGTTCGCACAGCTTACAAGGGTTTTTCTCATTTGTTTCAGATGTATCGAGGTCAAATGACAGTAAAAAAAAAAGCTAGATATATGCGGGAAAACCTGTTGAGGTGCTGTGTGCGTCCCTCAGGAGTCAGGTTGGATACGTCTCTCTGGCAGATCTGGCAGAAGAAGAGGCCTCCGTCCTCCAAGTCTACAGGACGGGCCTCGGCTGCCTCTCTGTCCAACTCCTGCTGCAGCCGCAGCGCCAGAGCCTCGTCGCTGTCCAGGGGCTCCGGCCGGGGGCCTGAGCTGGGGCGCAGAGGGCTGTCTGCGGACCGATGCAGATTTAAGGCAGGGACACGTCGTTACGGCTCAATAGAATAGCAATAGAGCGACCACATCCTCTTTCTTTTCTGGATCGAATATATTAGAAATCCGAAGACAAGCGTCCCCTTACCTTGTCTCTGGTGCTGTGGAGATGACGACTGGCTTTTGTTGTTGTGCACCATCTTCTGCGGACTGGCTCGCTTAAACTGCTGCATCCTGAGGAGGACTTTGTCTTTGGCCCTCACAGCTTTGTCAGCTGGATCCTCTGGGGCTGTCCAACTCGGAGCAGAAGCATCAGGTCCCATCTCAGCACAGACCACACCCTGCACGGCCTCAGCACAAACAGGCTGGGTGGAGGCGACCTTTGACCCCAGGTTCCCATCTTGTTTGTTATTTTTACTCCTCTTGTCAGCGTCACTTGTTTGACTGCAAGTCTGCCGCTCAGCTTTCCGGCTCTGTCTGGCCGTTTCACCCGGCTTCTTGCGGACGCGTTTCAGCAGCTTTGAGCAGATTTCCGCAAAATCCTGGTCCGAGTCGTCCATGGTGGTGAAGTCTCATGTCAAGAAACCTCGATAGCATGTTCTCAACTGTTACGATAAGCCTGCAAACACAGTAACCAACATCCACAGTTGTACTCAAGAATGACCTCAAAAAGGAAAGGTAAGTATCATATTTCACCAAATGGTCCATAAAACATAAAACCTTTTTTTCTTGTGAAAAACGTCTGCTACACAGAAAGCAAAGGGTTAGTTAGCTTGTTGTGCTAACACATTATCTTACCAAGGTTGGGCGAATTAGCTCCTTAGTTTTCCACCTCATCTTTTAAACAGTTTTTTTTTTCTGTGGATATTCTCATATATATTTTTTCCACCTATAATCAACACTTAAAACAAATATGACATATAAAACAGGCATAAGCCCAGTCGGTTTATTTTCTATTCAAAACATCTCACTCAACCGCTGCATTTCGAACTTCCGGTCATGTGACAGTAAACAAACGAATGCGAGTCCCTCACAGTCACGTGACCTCTACTGAGTGGTTGAAATACCACCTTTTTTATTGATTTTACATGGGACTTTTGTCACTCCAATCTTCATAAATACATTTTTTAGAATGTATTTTAGTAAAAAAGCTAATAAGATTTACACATTATTTTAAATTTTACTCCACCTGTGTATTAATCCATAAAGTTTCATATTTTTTTCTTATTTTATTCATTTCTTTTCTTACAGATTTCAACAACAGCATGGATATCTAATAAAAACGTTATGTTTTGTATATAAATGTAGCATCTCTAAGAGTATATTTTTATGTCCATTGTCACATCTGCAAATGGTTTCATGTGAGTCATCAATATGTTTCAAGTGCAATTCTTGGCAAGAGAGATTTAGTTTGCCACTTTATATTTAAAGAACTTTTTAAGGATTTTCTTCTTATCTTTTCCAAAAGCAGTTTAGTTGTAACATGCTGTTTTAAATAGTAAACAAGCCTCGTCCAGTCATTCACTCACAGAGGACCTTAGAATATATCCAGGAAAGTGATTTCTTCTGGTCACACACAGATCCAAGCATCACTATGGCATTGTGGGGGTTCAGATTAAAGTTCAGAATCATTGAACAGACTTCTTTTTTTTAATGTTAGCAATGTACAAATTCCTGAGAACTTGCTTCTCACCTTTCTTGTTAGCTGTTGCACCGTCTGTTCTAAAGTTAAAATAAACTACATGAATGGTTCTTGCTTTGTGACGTATAGGCTTCAGATGAACAGCTGAAATTAGAATTAAATCACTGTAAATTGTTCCATATTTACCTTGCCTCAGATGAATTTGACATTTACTTCTACTTCAGGGTAGAAAAGCCTAGACATAGACATAATTAAAAACCTTTAATATATTACAGGTCCGATAATATAAAAAAGAAAAAGGGGGGGGGGACAAAGAACATCTTTTACTTGTCTGAAGTTGAGACACGACTTCAGACTACGTCAATCAGCTACAAGGAAAATGACCGAACATTGAAATTCTTTACAAAGCTTGTGACTTTGACTGGTGTCTGAATAGTGAACTTATAGTGAAATATAGCCAAAATAGACATATTTAATTGTAGGGAACCGTATTTTAAACACTGCAGTTCACACTAGAGAGTCTACCTGGACTTCTCTCACTTATTCGTATCTATACGTCTACTGAAACAAAAAAAGGAACATTTCTTCTCTGCAGTTAAGAAACTTAACTGCCCATAAACCTTAAAATTCTTCCGAAATGTTTTTAAAAAAATGGTCAAACTATGACAAAAATGGAACTTCTGTAGCTTATTCATGCTGTTAAAAAAAAAGGTTTAAATCAGTCTGCCAGGAAGACTATTCATAACTTTAACTCATCTTAGCACCCTTTGCTGCTGGTACCAGAACTGTTCAGAGCAGAAACAAATGACCACACACCGGTAGGGAGGAGGGACGTCTCATTATTCAGTCAACAGAGTACCGGAGTTCTTCTGTTGCACACAGTTTATTTAACAATATGGTATATAAGTAAGAAATGAGTCTTTTACCAGTTTATACAGTGATTTCATTCTCTCTTCCTTATATTTATAGTATTTTGCTTAATAACTTGATTTACAATAGGAGAAAAAGAAAATCCCCCTAATTCAAGTTTTTGTGAGAGAGGAATGAGGGTTGATGACAATCAAGTTTTCCTCAAAGTGGATCTCCAACGTGTCGTCCCTTCCTCAAAAGCCCAAAGCTTAGTGTAAAATGTGGGGACCCGGACGACGTTCGAGATGCCACCGACAAACAACCCGCCATCATTCCACCTCAGCTTAGGGGGCTGGTCTCTTTCTCACACTCTCTTTACACTTTACAACTTTGTATGACAAAAAAAGTATGAAATTCTTTTTTTTTTTCTTTTTTTCCCAAAAACTGTCAAAGCAACAACTTTCTTCAACGGCAAGACAGATACATTTTTTTTCAAATTGAGATGCATGTTGCAGTCCTTGTATACCATGGTGAACCCGTTCAGAGTCGTGTTTCTCTTAGTGACTGTGAGGGTTTGTGTCAGTGTCTTCATGTGTGCCGGCATACATGCCCATGTGTACACAACCTGCTGCAGGCCATTTCCTATTTTAACACAACTGAGTGCTCTTCATACACACACCGAAGAAAAAGAAAAAAAAAAAAAAAAAAAAAAAAAAACGAGGAAGGAAGGGAAGCATCACTGTCCCTGAAAACATCATCTCGCAGTAATGGTACAACACTAGATTACAATTGCCAGGTACGACAGCTTGAGAAATAGAACAAAAACCTGGCCCAATTCCCAGATGAAATATCTTACAGTTCGAACACAAAAATGCATCACGTTTCTTTTCTCCAAAGGTACAAAATAAAAAGATATGAATAATATAATGCAATTGTACATTTTCTTTAAAAAAAAAAAGAAAAGAAAAAGGAAAAAGGCATGAAACATACCAAAAACAAACCAAAAACAAAGTACAGAACACATTTGGTCTCAACCAAAAATATATTCTTTGTGATTTTATTTAAGAAGCAACTTGCAAATCCCTAAACACCTTAAGGAAGAAATACCACCATTCAGATTTAGGAAACTATTACATTCCCTAAGCTTTTTTCCTTTTTCTTTTTTTTAAACTCCCACCCCTCCACCACATTTTCTTTTTTCCAACAGTTGAAACTTTTTACACGTCAGTACAAAAACCGTTCAACATTAGAAATAACAAACAAAGCCCTCTAACAGGATAAAGAGTCAGAGGCGGAACTGGGGAGGGAGGAGATGTGGACCGACGGGTCCGTGGGAGTGAGATGGATTTGAACTCCCCGTAAAAACGCTACAATTTCTGCGCAAAAGTCTCCAGAGTGTCCCCTGTGGCATCTCCCACCATCCCCAAGTCGTTGCTCAGCCCCGCCCTGTTGGGCGTGTTGAGCTGTGGTAACATGACGTTTTGTTCTGGCGTCCCCAAGTGTCCCTGGTCCATGGACTGAAGTGGGCCGAGCCCCGGGTGGGGGGAGCCCGAGTGGGGCGGGTGCGGGTGCTGGGGCGAGGGCTGGGGCTGGTTCTGGACGTGGGGCGAGGGGCTGGAATGTGGCGGCGGCGGCTGCTGCTGCAGGGGCGGACACGGGGACTGGACCGGCGCCGGGGAGCGCACCTGGTTGCCCAGGGCGTTGGCCAGCGCCGGCTGGCCGGGCAGGTGGGTTGCACCCTGAGTCTGGCCGGCCAGGAGGTGGGTCTGGGGGCTCATGGGGCTGGGCTGTGCGGGGGAGCCCATCTGCTGCTTGAGGACGGCCTGCTGCTGCTGCTGGGGGAGCTGCTGCTGCTGGAGCAGCCGCTGATGGATCAGGTTCTGGGCGGAGTCCATCCCCATTCCGGGCTGGACCATCTGAGCCATGGGTGGGAGCTGACCCATGGGTCCTCCGGCCGCTCCGGCCCCCGCCTGCATGGCGATCTGCTGCTGCTGCTGCTGCTGCTGCTGCTGCTGCATGCGGAGCTGGGAGTATGTGGGGGCCGTGCCCTGGACCTGAGCCGGGAACTGGCCCGGGTGGCCCTGAGGCATCACGCCCTGCTGCTGCTGCTGCTGCTGCTGTTGTTGTTGTTGTTGCTGTTGTTGTTGTCTTAAAAGCTGCCGGCGGTAGAGCTCCTGGAACTGCGGGTTGTTGCTGTGCGCTGCTGCGTTCATGAGCTGCCCCGGAGCCCCCAGCGGGGACATGCCCTGCACAGGGGGCTGCTGCGGGGGCATCCCGGGCCTTTGCACCGGCCCCCCCGGCATGGCCATGGTCTGCATGGCCGGCATGCCGGGCTGCTGCTGCGGCTGGCCCGCCTGCTGCTGCTGGGGCTGGGTTGCGTGGTATTTGGCTGTTCGCTGTTTGATGAAGGCGGCCATCAGCTGAGGGTTGGACTTGAGGATGTTGAGGACCTGCTGCTGCTGCTGGGGCGAGCTGGGGGACTTGAGGGTGCGCAGTAGATCCTGAAGGGCGTTTGGGGGTATGGTACCGGGTCTCTGCGGGGTCTGGGGCCGGGCCCCGGGCTGCTGTGGTATCAGCATCCTCTGGCCCGGCTGAGTCTGCTGCCCTTGCGCCATCATGGCCCGCTGTATGGTCAAGGCCTGCTGTGGGGTCTGACCCGGGGCGAGGCCCGGCTGCTGGGTCTGGGCCGCCTGCAGGGGGCCGGCCCCTCCCGCCCACTGTCCCGGGGCCATGCCGGACTGCATGACCTGGGGTCCGTGGGGGCCGGGCACCATCTGCATGGCAGGCTGCATGGGTCCGGCCATGCGCTGCTGCGGCTGCTGGGGGTTCATGGCCAGGCCGTTCATGTTGACTCTGTAGTTTTGCTGATTCTGCTGGGCCTGCGCCACCATCTCGATGTGCCGCGCCATCTTGACGGCGGCCAGCGGGGGCTGCTTTAGCGGCTGAGGCGGTTGGGGGGGCTGGGGCAGGGGGGACTGCTGCTGGTGGAGGGGGGAGGCCTGGGGGCCCGGGTTGGCCTGGGACCCCGGGGGCGGGGGGCGGCCCGGGGCGAGGCTGGGCGGGGAAAGAGGGGGACATGACCCCCGCCGACGTGGGCGTCTGCGGCTGGTTGGAGAGCGGCTGCTGGGGCGTCTGGGGAGTGTTGGGCTGGGCGTGAGAGGTGGGAGTGTTGGGCGCGGCGGAGGCCGGGGGGGACGGGAGCGGCATGGTTCGGCCCTGCATGGTGGCCATTCTCCTCCTCATCAGCTGGGCCTGCTGGAGCCGGTGCTGCAGCTGCTGCTGCCGGAGCTTGTGCTTGATGTTCAGGCAGAACGGGACGGGGCACTTGTTCTCCTGACAGTGCTTGGCGTGGTAGCAGCACAGGGCGATGAGCTGCTTGCACACGGGGCAGCCCCCGTTGGTTTTGCGCTTGCAGCCCTTGGTGTGCTGCACCACTCTCTTCATCTTCTGGCAGGACGGCAGGGAGCAGTTGGCATTGCGACACTGGCAAGCGTGGACCAGGGACTGAATGCACCGCTGAATGCTTAAACGCCGGCTCTCTTGCGGGCTCTTGGAAGCCTCTCCGCCCTGGCTGTTGCTGTCGTCGTCCAGGCCAAGACCCCACTTCACCATCTGGTGCTCGTGGCCCTTCGTGTTGTAGCAGTTAATGCAAAGATCGAAGTCCTGAAACAAAAGCAACACAGGGTTTAATTTCAGTCCGACTAGCTGCGATGAAACATAAAAATATTTCCCGTTTCAGACGCAGAGGGGCCGGTAGCTCACCTCGCACACGGTGCAGTGCCAGCGCGTCTCCACGTGGTGCTTGCACTCGTTGCACGTGTACACAAAGCGATCCTGTCCCTGGTTGTGCAGCTCGACCAGCATGCACATGGTGCTCCACTTGCACCTCCTGAGCGAGCTGAACTCCCAGTGTTTGTCCCGCGCCAGCGTCAGGAAGGCGTCGCGGCCGTCCATCAGGTCGCAGGAGATCAAGGGGTCAGGGTCAGCGATGGGCGGCAGGGTGTTGGCCATGGGACCAGAATGAAGGTGGATCACGAAGAACACCTACGGAAGCGAGGAGAAAGAGTCAGACAAGCAAAACGAGAAAGCACACCCAAAAAAAAGCAGGCCAATAAAAATAATCTTTCAAAGGTAAGAAAGAGCTGCCTCATCGTAAACAGACAGACCTCATCAAAGAGCGTCAGCCTGGGAGAATGCAATTAGATTCTTCCATAAAAACAATTACAAATATTCTGCAGAAAGCTACTGAGCCACTGAGTAGTTAAGCAGAAACATGGAAGTCCACCGATTGTCCAGAAGAAAAACATTTACATCTGACTCTTTACAGTCATTCACGGAAACTGCATAGCAAGCCGGCCTCCTTCATAAAAACTTGGGTTGGGTTTTTGAGTCGCTTTTGTATGCGTTAGATATGTGCTGAGGAGTGTTCTATTTGTTTTTTTGTAGACTCTGTTTAATTTTGTGGCAGTCTTTTGGACCCGGGTCTGAAACAATGCGACTTTACTCAATCTTTAACAAGCTACGGTTCGTGGCAAACAGCTTCCAGCCCCATAAACGTTTTACAAGAAAGCAGATCTGACCTCTTTGTGCTTCTCCATGGTGGCGTACAACTTCTGGGACAGATCATTCGCTACATTCGGCATCCCAGGCTTCTTCTTATTGGCTCGGCTCACACTGCTCTTGTTTTTATTGGTCTTCTTGTTGTTCTTTTTCTTTGCATTTTTGCTGTCCCCTGGTGTACCCTGAGGGGTTTAGAAAAAAAATAATATGAAGAAAACAATCCAAAGACTTTACAAAGTAATGGAGCTCTTTAAAAATGGAATAGTGAATTCATAGCTGCTCTGGCCCACAAACAAATCACTGGAAAATGTTTGTACCTCAGGAGTTTCAGTAGAAGCTGTGTTCTCTTCTTTCTTCCTTTCCTCTTCCTCCTGTTCCAGTTCCTTGATGCTTTCCTCGAGCACGTTTGGCCAGAAGTCGCCTTCAAAGTACGGCAGCTCGTTGGCGCTGGTCAGCCGGTCCTCTGTAGCCTGTTTAAAGATGTCCTGATGGAAAAACGGAAACCATGAACCATTTTCTACATCTATACTTGCAACAAGTAAAAAAAAAAAGAAGAAAAAAAAAGCTTTTAAAAAGAATTTTGTTTGTAGATGTGTTATTATATTTGTTTCTACCTTGTAGTCATGCAGGATTCTTTCGGCAAAGGCCTTGTCCAACATCTTTCTGTACCACTCCTGCAGTCTCTTGGGCTTGGGGATCTTCTGGTCGGGAGGATGGCAGTGGAAGATGTAATCATCTCCTTCACTGGGTGGACAGGCCCAGATGTGGCCCTGGGTGTACCTTCAGAATAGCATAGACAGGGAGGTTCAAACACCTACCGGTGGAAACTTTCCAAAGGCGAAGCAAAACAATCAAAGTAAGACTTACCCAAGTTTTTTGACGTATTCAAGATAACCGATGAGGATCTCATGGTACACAGCTGTTCGTAGAATCCGAGGTCTGAAGAAGTGAATACTGTCAAGGTATGATATGTAGACCCGTCTGAGGAGGTGGGGAGATGGGACATTGTTAAAAAAAAATCTCCTTGGTTAGCACACAGCAACATGATAGAAAGCATTACTGAAAAGCACACCTAGTGTTGGGAAATGGGCATTCAGAGCCGTACTCCTGCACGTGCATGCCAAAGAAGCACACATCCACGCCATCGATTTCCTCAAATGCAAAAAGTGCTTTGGTTCTGTAAGGAAAGGTTTCGGGCATTTCTCCCGTGTCCACAAACCTGACGAGGGGGGGTGGGGGGGTGGATGGAAGCAGAGAAATTAGTAAAATGCCAACATTTGGGGGAGGTTTTATTCTTATACTAGATCTGAAGTACATGTATATCCAGATAAAGAATCACAACTCTGTTCATAAAACACTCCAGCATAAACTGTTTGGAAAGCCAGTGAATCACACTATTACCAGTGAATTAATCGCTTTGTATCTTAAGGGCTTTACAATAATCAGGAAAGCAAGAGGTCGCTACCTTTATCACGACTGACGAAAAAAAAAAAAAAAAAAAGATCAGACACAAAGTGACGAGGCCTTGAATCAATAAAAAGCAAACAGCCCTAAATTCAGGGAACTTGTAGATAACAGGCTGTTGGATGTGGGACTCCACCCTGCACACAGAGTGGGTCTAAAACCTTTATGGGGCTCATTCAGTGATAGCAAAAATAATTTGGGGCAGAAAAAGAAAGAAAAAAAGGCTGTATCGTTCCATTAACAGACGGTGGATGTCCAGACTGCCATTTGACATGCCTGATTGTAAATGGTGACTCGACTCAAGTTTTTTGGCCTCTTGTTTATTGTTAGATAAAGGAAAGAAAATCAGCCCTCCGTAAAGTGAACCATGATAAACATTTTGCAGCATCATGATAAACACCTATGGCCTGGCCTCCCATCTTACCTGGCTTTCATGCCCGGTTTGACCTCCACCGTTTTGTCAGAGCTTGCCACCACTCGCACAAACACTTCTCCGGCCTCTGGGTGGTTCTGTCTCTTCAAGTATTTATTCACACGGTCCTCTATGTATGTTCCCAGTCGTGTCGACTGGAGCCCTGCAGAGAACAAGAGCATGGGAGAAAACCTTTTAAACCACTAACTTTGTTTAAAAGGGATAGCAGATCAAAACTATTTCTAAATGGCCCATCAAGGTTCTTTATAACAACCGATGTTTATGTCAGACCAAAAGATGAAATTTGTAGCTGGATTCGGGACTTAAAGTCACCGGACCAACAAGCCAGAATCTGAGAAACAATCATATGTTTTGAGCCTGTGCAGAAACTGGATAAAATCATAAAATGAAATGGAAACGTACTTTTTGCGGAGAACTTGTTTTCCTTCCGTGTTTTCCCACTTTTCTTCAAACAGTTATCACAAATGAATCTGAAAAAAGACAGAATCAGTTATTATCATTTAAGAAAAAAACATAAATCAATGATGAAGATCTGCTTAAAGTGTAAGTTCTTCTCACCCGGACGGCCAAATAACCTCGTAGTGTAAAACGCAGATCTGGTGCATTTTCCGTCCACAATCTTTACATTCAACAAACCTGGAGAGAAGCAAACAGGCAGAATTTGACATATTTCTGTAATTTCAGATTAGGGTCATTTCAAAAAGCAGTGCTGTACAGAGGCTAAGGAGCATTTTCTGGAATGGTGGAAGGCTGACAACATTCATTCGTGTCATATTCCACTGGAAGAATAAAAAAACTCCAGTTCCAGTTCTCAAAATGATAAAGTCCTGCGCCTAATGGCTATCATTTGTCTGAATGAAGACGTCTTAACTGCTCAGACAGCAAGACACGAAAAATCATCCATTCAGGTTAATATTCCTCCGGTCGTTACGCTTCTGCAAGCCAGCCAATGCAGGAGCGCCTTTGTGGGAGGTAAAGAGTACAAATCCGAAATCTTGTTCAAATTTACTAAACTCCTGCAAACAGCAGTTAGTTCTCCTGAAACTAGGCTGAAGAGGGAAAATTCTGCTGCACAAAACCTGACAGGAAAACAGTGTGAGGAATCAGAGAGCTCCCCAGAGTTAATATGCAGCTTCCGCACAACAACAGAAAATAAATAAAACAAGCAGAAGTGGGTGACATCAGCAGCCACTCAAACTTCTGCAGGCTGGAGAGATGCGTTTGACTTACGGTTCAGGGTCGAGAACATCATTCTTCTTACGTTCGAACTGGTCTTTTGATATCATCCTGAAATGTCAGAAAACCAAAATACACAAAAGTCAGACTACTTGTGGAATACATGTTTATATGTTCTTTAAAAATCTTTTTAAAAAATAGAAAGAGAACATGTTGGCTTATTTTAGAGCAATGTAAAGAAAAGAAAGGCTTTAAGCTCTTAGATAGTCAAGAACAGGTTGTACATGGTCTGTCTCTGATCAGACATCTCACGAATTCCAGAAATAAGGAATTGTTCTTGCAACAGTGACCAGATTAAGCAGAATCTGGTTCACTTACGTCTGCGGCTGAGCCGGGTCATCTCCTAACGTCACACTCTCCCCCTGGATCTCATTGAAGCATTTTTCACAAAAATGATACCTGAAAGAAAACGCATTCAATGTTGCAGCGTAACACGTTCCAGGTCTCTTTTTATTTTATTTTATTCCCAGCCTAGAAAATGCGGATTCCTGCAACCGACTGTGCTACACTGGTGGTCAATGCGCCTTTCTGTCTCATAGCAGAGAGCAGGGAATCCCAGCAAGAGTGTGAACGGACTGCGCTAAAAGACCCTGAAGCTGGCTCTGCTGCTGTTCTCTGGGTGTCCTGTCTGGGCTGGAGAAGGGCTGCAGTGGCACAGTTCATACAGCAGAGGGAGCAAAGTTGTTCACCGTTTTGGCTGCGAGGAAAAAGCAGTGATGGGCAAGGGTGTTTTCAGTCCACACCAAAACAGTGCCTTAACATTTTGCCGGCCAGCTACGTCGAAATAGCTTAATCCCGTGTTACGTGTAAAAAGAAAAGCAGTCCCCCCCCCCTCCTCTCTGATGTGTCTGTTAGTATATGGGGGTTAGTGTCCCCGTATGTGCAATGGTGGAGAAAGCATTTGGTTGTCTTATGCCGTTTCTGGACTAGCAGAACCTTTATAGCCGTTGCTGCATCGATGACAGTAAAACATAGATCACAGCAATCACTCCAAGGCTAAAAAACAGAAGGAGCAGAGCCCAGGCTGCAGAGGGAACACGCTTAAAATGTGTCCATTTAGTACATTTCAACAAAAAGTACCATAACTGCATACAAATGGGGTATTCACAAAAATTTAAATTCTGCAGAACAGCTAACCAAATCACCAATATGCAAAAACCCAAAACACTGATCCACATACCTGTTCTGGTAACTGTAGTATGTGCCTCCTGTAGGTATGGTGCAGAGTTGCTTTCCATAGCAGCACAGAGTTTGAGGGGAAAATTCGTACTGCAGAAAAATAATTCAAAGATATTTTCAGCTTTTCCCATCAAAAGTGAAGAAATAATCATTGGGTATGCAAATCTCAGTTTTTCTCACAGAAAAAAAGAAGGTTTTTATGACATTTAAGTATAGATGCGATCAGAGGACGAAGAAAAATGTCATCCGCAAATCCAGAGTCCCCCGGCATCGTCTCACCTTCCTGCCACAGCAGTAGCCCAGGCCCTGCATGACCGGGTCGATCTCAGACTCAAACACCTCGGCCAGCTTGGAGCAGTACTTATAGACCCGGGATGTTTTCCGGTTGTAGAGCCAGGCGTTGTTGAACATCAGCCACACATCATCCACGTACTGCCAGGGCTCTTGGTACTGTCCTGTGTCCAGCTTTCGCTTTATTGTCGACAGATCTATTGGGTTCTTGACTATGTCGAAATAGTCCTAAAGAGGCAAGGGGAAAAGAGAGGGATTCAAATATTTCAAATCAGCCATGTGTGTCCTCCATGAGCATCAGCCAGTTGTAGTCATTTTTATGTGGAGCTACTCACAGGGATACCCAGGAGCATGGGGTCCACTGGCTGTCGGAAGGGCAGTGACTCTGGGTCCTGCCGGTAAAGGGACTCCAGCGTGGGCATCAGAGCCTGCCGCAACTCCTCCGGCTTAAATACTGAAAATTTTACATACAAGAGGTAGGTTAGGAAAACGGTTCAAAGGACGAGGAACGAGACAAAGATGACCTATTGTGACACTTCACTTTGGATACAGGTTAAGTTTTTCTCTGAAGACAAAAAATCCAAACTGGCTTCCCAAAAGCAAAAAAGTTCCAGAACAGCACAACTGTAGAGCATTTGGAAAATAAACTCTCTGTAATCCTGATCCCTTTTACTGATTTGTATCCGTATTGTATGCGTTAAATGTAAAAGCTGGAATGCTTCATCTGAGCAGAAACGGCACATTACAAAGTTCCCTCCATGTCTGATCTATTTAAGGCTCGCGCCTCCTTCCTTGAAAAATGAGGCGGTACTAAACTCTGAACTAAAACTGATGGCTGGCAGAAGATTTTTTGGCACTCGGTGTGAGGTTTCCCACCAAATGTTTATTTATGGGCTGCTGTGGTATATTAATGGCTGATTAAATAAATTAGGCAAAATATAGATTCCTGCTTCAGAGTTATTTTTTCCGCCTCCCCGTCTTTATCAGCAGCCAACGTGAAGTTAATGTCACTCCCAGCATCTTCAAACAAGGAAAGTCGAACTCTAGCGCTTGCTATTTTTTTGCTCTTAAGAGTAAATTCCCAAGACCACTTGTGTAGTTCAAAGACAGATAGGAATCAATAATGTTCCAACATCTAAGCTGTAAGCTGGAAAGTCGTTGACGGTCAGACAGTTAAGTCCAAGGTTTCTGGAGCCGATATGTGATGGGGGAACTGCAGCATCATTTTTGAATGGTTAATTATCCTACCAGCCGGCCAGCATATAACTTTAGCTGCAAGGCTTTAACATCTTGGAGCAGTTCAACACATGACTCAATAAAAGTTTGCATGTAAAAGAAGAACTCATGCCAGTTGCTCAAGGTAAAATTTGAGATGGCTGAATTGTTAAGGGCCACTTTAAAGCATCAATGCTTTAGGAGTTTTTTCTCTGTCTTATCAGAACTGGCAACAGCCCCAAAGGAGATCCTAAAGAAATTATTCCAGCTTTTGGGAAGCAGACTAGAGTATGGGCCACCTGAGGTGAAAACCGGCCAAAGGACTGCACAGATCTCCCTTCAGACTGGCTTCAGACTCACTTTTCCGTCGTGACTGAGAAGGGGAAGATGAGGTTGTGCTATTGGTTCCACCTTCCTCCTCTTCTTTGGGCTCCGTCTTCATTTCTGGCTTCTTCTCTTCCACCTCCATGGGCTCTGGTTTTTCCTCCGGTTCCTCCTTCTTTGTCAAAACTGAATTTGTGTCATCCTCCGTCTAAGAAAAGAAAAACCAACATGGTGTCAATGTCTTTACAAAACTGAAAGGGTTTGGAGAATGAAAACACCTTCAGTGTATTTGGGAAAAATACTTGTGAATAAAAAAAACTTTTGCTCCGTTTTTAAAATCCCATAAAAGGCATTAAAAGTAGGAGTGGATTCCCTGTAGTCGAGCTGAAGAGCCACACTGCAGCTACACACATTCGGAAAAATGTTGCGCTTTAACGTGTTAAAGTGAGCAAGTTCATCTCAATTTTCACTTTTTAATTTTGAATTAAGAAATGCCATTTTTAACGGAGGGTTTGCAAAGGTAGCACGTGCAGCAAGCAACCTTCTTTTACATAGAGAACCTCACACTCAGAAACCTTCGTGGACCCTTTGGGTGTGTGCTGCAACAGAAGCCGCAGACTTCGAGATCTCTGATGTAGTCAGGCATAAATGCCACATATACAACTAATCTAACTGAATTTGGACAATTACAGTGGTGTAATTACAGTCATTTGCAGAACATGGCAGAAGCATTCCCAAAGAAGGACAAACACTGACAAAAAGCAGTAGATGAAAACTTTGGAAGACTTCTAAGAGGCCTGTAAAAAGAGCTACGCTAACTATTAAAATCTTCTGACTTCCACCTCTGCTGTGACCTTTTCTTTCAATTTTTTTTTTTAAATGAAAGTGGCCGAACACTGATTAATGCAAGACTACAGGATTACATTTTGGCAAATACTCAACTGCAACAACAGCCGAGGTGAGATGGACCTATTTGACATATGTGAAAACATTTCCCATGGACCAGTCCCCAAGTCCATGTTGTGTGACCACGAGACAAGCGCTTCATTCAGAGGCAGATGCTTTAACCTACCTCCATCTTGGGCTCAGTTTTCCCCCCAGCAGCTTCAAATTCCTGTTGGTCGTGGTGCGATTCTGATTTGACCTCCTGGACTGGTAGGTCCGCTCCGACTTGCTGCGAGTGCAGGTCGGCACTGGTGGCGGAGGCGGGCGTGGGCACCCGGTTATCCAGGCTGGCCCCGGGCTGCGAGAGCTGAGACACAGAGAGGGACACAGGCAGCGATGTTAGTCCTCCTCCTGCCGTTTCGACCGTTTCGTCTTCGTGTAAAAATGTGCATGCAGGGATGCAGCTATGGCACGAATGGACGACTCCTGCATTCAGCAACGCTCCCTTTGGATCAAAGATGGCACATTCCCATTGTGATGGTGAAGATGAAGCTTTGAGAAAGGTGGATACGAATGGATGCGATGGGTTTATAATGGCAGTCAAAGGGATGGGAGTTTTTTTCCTGGGAAGCGGGGATCAAAGTGGAGGGCATGCGGAGGGGCTCAGTCTCACCGGTGTGGTAGGGGGCTGAGGCGGGGGCTGCGTCTGTGCTGCTGCAGGGAGCTCCGCCTGGGGTTGGGGCTGAGTGGGGCGGGGTGGGGTGGCACCCTGGGCTGGGGCTGGGGCGGGGCCGGGGAGGGTAGGGGTGGAGCTGCGGCTGGAGGACTGGGGGTGCGGCAGGTTAGTGGCCCCCCCAGCCGTGGAGGCGGAGGAGGCGGTAGGCGGAGGCGTGGAGTGCAAAGGGGTTTGGGAGGAGGCTAACTGAGGGCCCAGCGAGGGGCCAAGTGCATTCATGGGGAGGTTAGCGCTCTGCTGCGGCTGCTGGAGAGAAGGACACACACAGAGCAGGCGGACACACACAAACACACACAAGATAAGCAGACAAACATACAGTCAGAAGGTCAAAGAGACAACGCTACAATTAACTGGAGGTTTAGAGCTCACTGTGATTGGTGTGTTCAATTAAAGGGCAATTAGTGTGCACTATGATTTGTTAATGCAGTTTCATTTTAGTTCCACGGCAGCTAGTTGGAAACAGCATGACGTCGCAGCCCACTCAGATTCATTATTACTACGAAATAGCTTCATAGCACCCCCCGCCCCCCATCTCTCAGCGCGTCTCACCTGAGTGACAGCAGCCTGTGCCTGTGGCTGACCCATGCCAGGCCCCACCGTGACATTCATGGCCCCTGATGTGGCAACTCCACCGGGAGGAAACTGGGTCTGAGGCATGAACTGACCCTGACTGGCCGTCTGACCCACCATGTTGGTGTGTCCGCCCATCATGCCCTGTGCCTGAGGCATCCTGGAGGGAGACATTCCCATCTGCAAGGCACGAAAAGGGGACGTTAAGATGAGCAGGGTAAGGTAAAGAGGCAGCCATCAGAGGGAGAGCAGTTGACTAACAGCCAAAAGTTAAAACATGAATTTCTTGATCTGAAACAGAGCTGTATATGTACACAGGTGGTGATATCCCTTTTTCTCACACGTCAATGGTGACAGAAAATATACTATGTTTCTATTACTGGTTCAATTTGATCAACTCTTGACCAGTAAAGTACCATTTAAAAAACAAATGAGGTAGCTTAAGCCCCCATAAAACGTCAGGCTCATATTCCTCAGCCTAAGTGTGTGCTGTGATTTCCCTGGTCCCCGGGCCTTTCTTACCGCTGGGACAGAGCTCATGTTCATTTGCTGTGAGTGGCTCATGGGAGAAGCAGCTCGAGCACCCATTGGCGCCTGAGACATCTGGGCGTTGGGCAGAGCCATGTGGTTGAACTGGTTCATTCCTGCAACAAAATGAAAGTAGATTGAATAAGACCAAAAGGTCTGACAGACGTGGCAAACTAAGAGCTTCAGAAGCACTGTATGAAGCCCATCTGGCTGAAGAGGTTTCTGTATTTTTCCCTTTCTGTTGGACAGGTTGGATGCTAGAGAAGCAGCGGGATGTTCTCTTCCAACAACCGTTTGCCTCCTATATTTACTAAGGCCTGTGTTAAACGGAAAGTCTGCACATCTTTACATTTCTGCTAATCTATCTTTTTTCGCCCCTTTGCTCTTGTTACACTCATGGAAAATGAGATACCATCTTAGCATTGTGCTAAGCAGAGTCCTGTTTTGCTCTGCTCTGTATTCTGACATGTGACTCCTTGTATATTTTATAACTTTTAGAGTGTACCTTGTGAAACTTGCATGCGGTTCATGATCTGATTTGGCATGTTCGGCAAAGAAACAGGCCCATCTGTAAAAACAAAACAAAAACAAAAAAACATGAGAAAGAGTTAAAAGAAAAAAAATGCAGCTCCTGTGCATTAAGCTCCCTGGGAAGGAGAAAATGGATGAGAAGTCTTGAACATCACACCACTTCTGTGATCACCAGTAGCAGAGTGGAATTCAAACAACCCTATGCACACATTAAACTGAACCTGTACTCACTCTGTGGCCTTGGGCCCAGAGCACCAGGCTGTGGCAGCCCGGGCTGTTGGGCCGCCTGTGCAGCCAAAGGTGCCTGGTTGATGATCTGCTTCTGTAGCCTTGAACGCCTCTTCTCCTCCAGTTCCTTTTGGATTTTGTATATTTTTTCAGCCAAGAAGTGATAGTACTCATCCTAATAGGAGACAAAAGGGTGGGAAGTGATGGGAATTTAAATAAAAGTCATTGAAACGTATTGTGAGAAGCACATCTAAAAACTCCACATCTGTTTTCGATTGCAACTGAACTCTTTCAGCTTACCCGGCTGTTTGCGGACTCATACATGTCCCCTTCCACCTTTCTGGCATAGGCCACAAGGTTTTCCATTCGTCTGTCTTTCAAAGCTGCCGGGTCGGGGGTGGGGAATATGGCTTGTACTCTGACAAAAGAGGGAGATCGTTTGAGGCGCTGACAATAGCTGGTCGTCTTCTACCACAACACTTAAAGCTCCGCTTTCAAAAGTCCCCCGTGTGTGGCGGGGCGGGCAGCAGAGGCGTGCACTCACAGTTTGTGTACGAGGTGATTGCGCAGGTCCTGAGTGACATGCTCATGCCAGGCTTTCCTGGAGCCTGTAGCAGAGACGGGTGCTGCCGTGGGTAAGCTGCCCATTGACCCCACAGCTGATCCGTCGGACAGCAGCTGACTGAAGGAGGAACGAAGGGGAGCTTAGAATTTGACCGTGACTGTTCTCATCAACGCATCATTACAAGTGTCACAGTACCAGCAGCAGAGCAAATCAATTTAAAAGAAGTCACTTTGAATATCTTATGAGAATCAATGGCCTGTGCTTATCGTGTGAAGACGGAACTGACTTGTTAGTGTTGATTGAGTTGGGAAGGGAGTCTGTGTGCAGGTTCGTTTGTTCTGAAGTGGTCACAGCCATTGTCCCGCCTCCAAGAGCCATCTGATTACCTGTAAATACACACATGTAAGCACCCAGCACTGCCTTGACATGTAAAGCTCTAAGCACTGTGATTTTGGCTTAGAAAAAACACCCAACAAAAACCTTTTATTTATTTAGGTTTTAATACTTTAAAAATGCGTAAAGGGAAGTCAGATTTGTTTTGTTTCTATAAATATTTCAGAATTGCATTGATAATTCAGCTGTAATCGATGCATTTGAAAGAGGACCAAGAAACAGCAACCGAAGTCAAATCTGACTATAAAAGTTATCTGGCTGACTTTACCAATGGCGTTGATGGATCTCATCTGCTGTGGAAGTTGCTGCTGGGAGTTCTGAGCACCTGCCGTCTGTCCTGGGGCCTGCTGGGCCTGAGCCTGGGCCTGGCTGCTGTAAGGCAGACCAAGTGCTGCGTAGGCTCTCTGCATGGAGCTGGGGTCTATAGGAGCTGGGGGGTTGATGCTGGGAGCGCTGGGTTGGCCCACGCCAACAGAGGACATGGGGTTCTGGAGACCCGCATTTGGAGAGCTCAGCATGGCTGTGGAGAGGGACAGAACTGTTAGTTCACAAACATAAAAACAAACCCTAAAAGCATCCAGTTGCTGCATTCTGGAGGGTTATTTCCCCTTAATAAAGCATGTAGCAAAATGCAGATCTTGCCTGATTTATAAAAACCTCATACCTCAATGTTATTTGAAAAAAAAATAAAATAAAACACAGGATCAGGTACAACACTCTTGTGGGTCAATTAAACTTTGTGGTCAACATTTGACCGCTGGAAATATTTAGACTAACCAAATAACTTTAAAAATGAAGGGAAATTAAATAAAATAAATCCCTTCCAGACACAGAGTTATCCGACATCTAATAACTAATCCAGGGAGCAATACAAATCATAACGAGAAATCAGAGTAAGAACCCAGAAAAAGAAAAGGAAAGGTGTTTTTAGGAAACAAATGAAAACATGGCTCTGTTCTAACAGAGGGGAGCAGCACACCAGCCAGCACTTAATCCCTCTGTGGGACACTGTGCACACTATGATTCTCATCTCTCACCCTTCACCGCATTTCTGTCACTGTAGTGTGTCAAATTAGAAGCTCACCAGGACTTCCCTTTTAGTGCTTCTGTTATTGTTGAAGAGCAACAAGAAATGAGCGGTTTGGGTCATTACGAATGGAAAGATAAACATGGCAAAACTTTGGAGGATTCGCAAGATTTTACTAAAATCATTCTGCTCACGCTAAATGTATCGACATTAAAATCTGAAGGAGCCTATCTAAAATCCCATCCAACACCAAAATGGGAAATCAAAAGCGGAGGCGACTGGGGATAGCTTGATGGTAAAGCCTCACTGGGCTTCAGATTGCCGCTTATACTTACGCTGCTGGGTGCGTTTGTCGCTAGCGTTCTTCAGCGGCAAGCAGACAGGACAGTCATGTCGGGTACAATTTTTCCAGTGGGAGATGATCTGTCTTGACGAGGCGCAGTGAGCCACTGAAGCGGAAAAGACAGGAGGAGAGTAACGTTAAAGGAAAATGCGTTTCCCCATATTTGGTCGCCACTAAATATGTCACACCAAGGATGCAGAACATCGCTGTGGCCGCCATGTTTACTTGAGAAATATTCATGAGATGTCAGCCGTTCAGTCTACTTGTGTTCCATATATCCACTGCTAGTGGAGCCTCAGGATGAAGACCAGCGTCACACTAATCCATGTGAGAAATACACCCCAAAGTGGACTAATCACTGATTATGAATCATGTTGAATCTAAATTAATGCAATTTCCCTCACTATCACAAATGTACCAAAAAAACAAAAGTACAAGCCATGGAAAAGGGACTTACAAAAAAGTTTAATTCACTTTTATCAATAACCTAATTCACAAGTTTGTTTTCCTTAAAAAAAAACGCCCCATACCATATTTCCAAGAGGGCAACTAATCTCAGATGCAGCCTGGCATGTACAGAAGCAGCTTATCAAAAAGAGATCACAGCTGGACCAACATCAGCGATGCTGGGCATGTTAAAACTGCTGCTAATACAAAAGCTGCAGAGCCTCAAGCCTCAGCGATTATGCATAAATACGTACAATTTGAATTCATTATCATTGTAATCAAGCCAATGCTATGGGCAAGGAGTTAAGCACAGAAGAGCAATCATAGCGTCTGACACAGAACAGTGCTGTTGAGAGCAAATGTTTACAGTTAGTTCAGCTGTACAAAGAGGTAAAGATATGAAGGCGCGTGCAGAGAGCGGGGGGGCGGACTTCCCATTTCGGATTCCCACTGAGCAACTCACACATTGTCATCTTCTTCAGCATATTTACATCTGTAAAAATCCGATGCTTGGCACCATCCTGGGCCAGAGGTGGTGTGACCCACCTTTCCTCATCAGATCTGCTCAAGTTGAAAGTCTTTCACACATCTCAGTACAATTAGGACAGGCACTGTCGTCACATCTTCTGGGTTTGATTTGCAATTTAGCTTTTGGATTTCAGAGTGAAAGTGAAACAACAGGTTTTAATCGCAGGGAATACTGGGACTGTTACACAAAACAAGAAGCAAACCACCCTTTGGATAAATTAAACTGGCATACATGTTGGGAAACGATCGGAGTAATAACTAATCCAAACAGCTGAGGGGCAACGATAATGCAACAGTAAGTGTTTACATCCAAACATATTTCCAACCTGGAGGTGAGAGAAACGCGCAAACAGCCCAGCGGTTGGTCTGCGTGGTATATCGTTTCAGCATGAATGATGCAATGTGCACATGCCCAGAAGTCTCACAGTAGGATATCTGCAAACTGCACCCCCCCCCCACCAAAACTACAGAGGCTGCTGAGTTCAAAAGGAGAAAAACTTAGGAAGCCCCACAGATAAAAGAAACTGAGGGAGTTACCCCGTTTCTTGGAAACGATCAATGGAACATATGGATTTGTCTTTATTTTCCAAATTAAACTTCAGGTGGGACGACAATTACGCTGGTAGTCTCGTGTTCTGTAAAGCATCGGCAAAGTCTGCACTGACAATTCTGGCGGTTAAAAAGTGGAACATTTGCACTGAGGATGTAATTAAGGCTTCGTGCAGCCTATACAAAATTTAGTTTTTGATTATTTATTTAAGATCATTCAGCCGTGGAGGAACGATAAGGTTACACAGTCACATCATCACAACACAGTTCATGGTCTGTGCACCAATTTCAACTGCAGAAAAAGCGCAAGAAAAGACAGAAGAGGCTGCATAGCTGAAATATAACGTTGCCGAGGTGTGATGTAAGCGTTCTGAAGCAGGCATTTGGAAACACTTTAGGTTTTCAGCACGAGCATGAAGGTGTGATTAAAGCATAAAAAGGCTTGAGGTGTGAAAACTTTTCAGCATGTATATATTCTTCTATTCCCAGCAATTCTGAGAAAGAACCATCAAACTTTCACAGCTAAACAACGACGGGCTTCTTTGCTCAAAGGGAATCCAGAATTTCCCCAGCTGTTCAAAGACACCCACAAAAACAGCTGTGCCAGCTGTGCCAGGTCAACGGACTGCAGACTCACATGCAGCCTACAGTATGTCCAGTTATTGGAGGGTCATTCTAATTCTGAAGTCTGGTTTAGAATCTTTATTTGATCTGCTTGCACTGACTGGGGGAGTTTTAATTCCAATAAAAATGGGATTACATCCTTTGACCCTGAACACAATAACAATTAGCAGTAGAGTTTTATGTCCAATATACCAATCGGCTTTTAGAGAACTATTTTAAGATTGCAGGTAATTATATCTCAGTACTACTGTAATTAAATTTATTGACCACCTTGAATAAGTTATATTAACTTATAAAATCATTGGTTGTAAAGCCACAATCTGTAAACGAAACAAAAAAGCATCTAATATCTTTATACCATGTACTGTAGCTCATTGTTAGGTTGATCCTATCTGTAATGTTGTACCTACATGGTAAGTTCTTTGGAATAAGGGTTAATGCTAAATGCATAATAATAAACATCTACTAAGGATCCTTTTCATGGTGTCAGTTTCAGAGTGCCAAAACTCACCTTGGCAGGACTTGCCGGCCTGGCAGTGCGTCATGTGGTTGAGGACGTTCTTCATGGTGCGGCAGTGGGGCAGGGAGCAGGCCCGCACCTCCCCGTTGGCCTGCTCTCGTCGCTGGCACTTGTGTGCGTGGAGCAGCAGGACCAGCTGCTGCTGGATCAGCTTGCGCTTCTCCGGGTCGGCGGTGGGGCCTGCCGAAGGCACTGCCACGCCCCCGCTGCCGGCCAGTGGGAGCATCGCGGCCTGCTGCTGTGACTGCTGTGCAGGTGTCAAAGAGGCAGGACGACATGCTTTTAGACAATGTTTTTGCATTACAATTGTACTAAAAATGTGGCAAATGTCTTTTGACAAGACAAATAAAGGAACAATGGACCTATGAGGTCATTCTGTGGCCTACAGGGTTTCCCCAAAACACTACAGTCACTCAGCTTCATTAAAACACTTACAATAATATTTTGGTGTGAAATTATTCTAAATATTTGTCAAACAAATTTTGTTGTGAATTTGTTTCTTGACAGGTCAGCAGTATTTCCGAGCAGAGGATCATTTTGAAAACATTGCATGCTTTGTGTGTCGGGCGGGCTAACATGGGCCTCTGTTGTGACACTGCACCGCTCACAATGAGCTGGGGAAACCGCAGAGATCTCCAGTAGCGGTGTGAATTTCATGTGCTGATAGGGCTGTGGCCCAACACTTGCAGGATTAGACTAAACCACTTGAAGGCAAAAACATCACACTGGTGAATTTGGTGTCCAAAAAGCACACTGAATGAACGAGCTCATCAGTCTGCCGAAGAGACTGAAATTCACATCTGACCATGTTGAATTGGAGAGGACAAATTGGTCAACCAAATAATTGAAGTCAAAATAATATTAATTCCAACTCAACATTCCTTCTGAAAAATGTTAGGGTAATGAATCAAACAACCAAACCTCACATTAACTTCAAAGGATATGATGACTATCTTCTGATTAACTGATTCATTCAGTTATTCTCTGGTTTCTATTATAAAAATAAAAAAATGTAAAAAATAATGTGAACTATAACAGTCGAGACAGTCAAAAGGAAAAAAACAGCAGTTGAAGCCAATTAAAATGGTGCACCTTTAATCATGTATAACCATGAAAAAAATGTTGATTTGTTACTTCTTCTGTGGTACCAAAAATGCGACAGGCATTTTTCTTGGAATCAGTCTTAAGTTAGAATTCTACCACTTTATCAACCATACGACGGCAAGAGTAAACAAACTGTTTGTGCACGATAGGTGACCATGACCACAAAAAAAAAAAAAAAGACAACTTCCGGGTTGTAATGTGTGGGTATGGTGTTCACGTGGAAAAGCACTGACCATGTTTGGCACACTAGCAACAGCCGCCCCTTTGAGCTCGTTAGGGAACTGAGACAGACTGTTGGCGAGCGCAGCCTTGTTCTGGAGCTGCTGCTGAGGGTTTAGCTGCTGGCCCGCTCCCGCAGCACCTTGACCATAAGGTTGAGCCACGAACGGACCTCCATTGGTGCCCATGCCCATCTGGAAACACAGATAAGTGAGACACAGAGCGACATCTCAAGCTGAGCAGAACAAGCTTCTTAACGGACCCGATTTGATGGGTCCAAGTTCTCACACCTTTAAAATGTGAACTTATTATCAGGTTTGGACACACAAAGTCCAAACCTTTGACTGGAACTGGACACACACGTGAGATCATCACTTCTCACGGTTCCACCTGCCAGTTATGGTGACCAACATTCCAACTAAACATTTCTGCCAGTCCAACGCCAATTTGTCATTACAAGAAACCCTCTGCCAGGACAAGGGCTACTGTAACTGTGCCAGGATAACTGTGGTGGGTTTCGTCTCAATAAGCCCAGGGATGCTCTGGCACCATGACAGGCCAAATGACTCCAGCTTTTTGCAGAGAAGGCTTTCCACTCCTGACTAAGGAATCAATCACAACCTTTCATCCTTTTAGGAGATTTCTAAAGGTTGCAACAAGATAGGGACACACATCACAACAAGATTATCATAGTTTTTAATTAGATCATTATCGTTCAGGTTTTTAAGAAGCCACTTAAAAAGCCAGTTTGAATATTGCTCATAGACGAATGCACACATATGATTCAAGATCGGAACCAAAGAACAATGACAGTAGCTTACCAAGGCCTCACATCCTCTACAAACACATGTGCGACACCAGAAGAAAGACTCGCTTGTTAGTGTCTTGCTTTACACTCTGATTAACTTGCTGCTGCTCTCTCATCCTTGGAGCAGGAAACCAGACCAGACTCTGCCATGCCAGGCCAGGCTGTGTCCCCTCTGGCTGTTGACACCACTCCAGCAGACCAGATTAAAAAAAGACCCAGCTGAGACGACCAGACGCTGGCAGCCTTTCAACACAGCTGAGCGGGAGGACACACACACACACACAGACACCAACACGCCCTCCTCCACTCCGCTTCCCATTCAGTCCCCACCCGGCACACTCCATACGTCGGCAGACTGAACAGAAGCCAACAATCACCTCGGCACTCTGCTGCCAGCCTGACAATTCTGGCTTAGCTGGTCGCCTTCTTTCCCCAGAAGTCATCTGTCATTTCAAACGATTACGTTGTTTACAATGCCAGTCTTTTCCCATGGCACTGGCAAGAGTAAGGAGCCACCCAATAACCCAAGGAAAGCGGGAAACATGCCCTTACTACCTTGCAAATACAATAACAAATGGAGCATGTGACGGGGAGGAGTGGCAGCAGCCTCTGGCCAACACAAATGCTCAAAGAGGAGATTTACAACCTGCCATCTATACATAATAAGGGCAGCGAGACACAAGGGGCATGCGATTATCTCCTCTATGGCTGTAACATGATAATCCCACGAAACCAGCTGAGCCTCAAAAAAACTCAGAAACAAAAAGGTATGGCTGTCTTTAGGTGTCAGATGTTTTCATTCAGTTTCAGATGGAGCTCTTGGTTTGGATGAAAAACAGATACCAGTATATACATAGTTTACAGATTTAAAAAGGCTAACCAATCCCAAATGCTCTTCAATAGAAATGGCAGCCTCAGGCCATTTAGTTGTAACATCTGTTTCTCGGAATGAATCGAAGAAATCCCACGTAAAATTCAACATGGCACCCTGACGGCGACCCCTGCCATGTGACACAAACATCTACTCGTTAAGTGAAAAAACAGTTCATAAAACTGCATCATTATATTCATAAGGGATCTGAAATGCAGGCCAACCACAAGAGATGGTTAGTGCTGCAGCATCTGTTACAACTCAACTCAGTTCTTCTCCAGTTCTTTTTCTTCTTTTTTGGGGAGAGAGGGGGGTTGGGGTCTGGGGGGTTGGAGGTCTGCAGTAGGTTGAACTCTGTATCAGCTTTAACTGAACCTCTGGGCAAGCCAAACCAATACTTTTTACATGAAGTTGAGGCTTGTGTACAAATGGATGCACAGCAGACTGTCACTGCTCACTGGTCAGAGAGTCCTCATCTCTGGGCCAAAGCAGCAGTGTGCAGATTTTCCTCCGATAACAAGGGTTTCTGTGCTGCTGCTGACATTTTATAACGCACAGCACAACCATGTAAACATTTTCTTAATTTGTTCAATGGTCATTAAACAACACCATTTCCACAGCTTGTGATTATTAGTTTCAGTCTATCTGAAGAAGACCCAAAGAAGTGCAAAGTGCAAAAAAAGTTTAGGTCAGAGGCTCCATGAAAACAAGATTGTTCCAATGGGAAACCCTAAAAATCAAAAGATGTGCATGATTTTTAATAATTCCCCATTGTATACAGACCTACCCACCCACTTTCCATTGTTTTTTCATTTATCTTTATTCATTCCAAGATTTTTAAAAATAATAATCAACATTCCCTCAGCATAATGCCATACAGAATTGACAACATATGACTTCCGCTGATTTTAGAAATTGCCAACGAATAATAAACAACATAACTTGCCAGCCTTGAGTCAGTCAGCACCATGGGAAGAATGGGACAACATTTAAGCCAAGACTCTAAAAACACCTCATCAACAAGCTGATCAAGTTTTTTTTTTCTGGCAGAAGTAAATAGGCTTTTAGATGAATCACTTTTGTTTGTGTCCTGAGTCAAAAGTTCCCACCCACAATCTAAACCACACAATGTATGAATGGTAAATTAATAATTAGATGTAAATGACTAATCATATATAGAGCCGTAACCAGTGTGTGACACACCTTTCCGTCAGCTGAAAACATGCACGCTCAAACACTAAATGAGAAAGAGTGGGAGAATGACTCACTTTGTTCAGGTTGCCTGCTTGCTGGGCGGAACCAAGGGTGGTATGAGCTCCCATCTGTTGCCCTCCCTGGGTAAGTGTTTCTGCCAACGCGCTCGCAGTACCTCCCGGTCCTGGTGCAGCTCCCTGCAGCGCCGAGCCTTGGTACTGCATGCCTGCCACCCCAGCTCCCCGACCCCTTCCGGCTCCGGGTACAAGACCACCGTTCATGACCTGTCCGGGTTGAGGCTGGCCCCCCTGGGCCACGAGTCCTGCATGGCCCTGGCTATTGTTAATCATAGCCTGGTTGAACCCCGTCGTGTTCAGGCCCATAGTCACAGAGTTACTGTTGCTGTTCTGTCCTGCAACTCCGGTCGGCGTCCCTGCTTTCTGAGCCTGAGGCGACGGGTGGTTGTTGGGCGAGCCTTGGCCAAGCGGACTCTTGCCCAGCGGCGCCCCCAGCTGTGGCCCCATGCCACCAGATTGAGGACTGGACGAGTTGAGCCCTGTACCTGCGATGCTGGAGGTGCTGCCAGGTCGAAGTAGCTCTGAGAGCTGCTTGTGCTTGGCAGCTGCGTCTGGGACGACGGAGGCGCCGCCACTACCAAGACCTGCTTGGGCACCACCAGGCCCACCAGCTCCAGGTGTGGCTCCACCATTCGTAGGCATCCCACCCATCAGGCTCAGATCTCCTCCATTAGGGATCAGCTCATCTGGAAGGTCATTCTCCAAATCATCCCAGGAAAGAGACCCAAGATCTGTGAGAATAGACAGGAGACAAATTAGGTAAACACCATGAGGTTTCAGACGAAATGACACAAAATCTCTCTGGAAAAAAAAAAATGCAATGAAGGACTTCATAATATGTCAGAGGTCCATCAACTTGGTCTGCACTTACAGAAAGAAAAGAGGTTCAAGTAATATAAAATGTGCCCATGATCCTTGGCAGAGGCATTGTCTTAATCTAAATATTCTTTAAATCTTTTATTCGTATTATATCAACAGGTCAACATGCTGACGGCTCGGTACACGGCGGCGTCTTTCCCGCTGTACAAAATAAACGGCACAAAATGCTGTAATAAGAACATCGCTGCGGGGTGACAACTCAGCGTGACAGCAGAGAGAATCCTGCTGAGTGGGGGAGGAATATTTGTGTCACACCATCCAGAGGTGTGAGCATAATGCTGAGAGCCCAGGGAGCTATGATTTGCTCCAGATCAAGCGATTAAGACAGTGAGAAGAGATTAAGGGCTATGCATGCATTCAGGTTGGTCGTGAACAAGAAATTATTCTTTAGTCTCTTGCCTTAATAGAAACAAATAGAATTTGCATGTTGGGAAGTGCAAATACATCTCATCATCCTCAGTGCTTTACCAACCTATTAGTAACTGGATCGTACATTACCAAATCCTTTTTATTTTTTGCAACACCTACTTAAGCAAAACGATTCAAATGCCTCTTAGAGAAAAAAGCACGCCAAGCATGATTTTTAAAACAAATTATATGCTGATTTATTGAAAGTAAAAAAAAGCAAACTATCAAAGAAACGTGGGCCTTATTTGCTTGGGGTTTTTTGGTGTAAACTGGTCTCTTTGAACATATATATGGAAAGCAGTGTATAATCTTGAAAGGTGCTTAAAGTCAATCACAACCACATAATCAACTAAAAGGTTTGCAGTTAAATAAAGGATTTTTTAACCTTTCTTTAGATGAATAACGGGGCTTCTGATATTGGCCATCAATTCATCAAAATACATCTTAACCCTAAAATACAATCTTAAAGTTTCATCAGCTGGAACATAACCTAAAAAGCCATCGACCGCTAAGGCTTGAGGACAGGAGGAAACAGAGTGGAGTAATCATCTCCCGTCTCGTGCTGCTAGATGTCTTCATTGAGATTCAATCAGTGTTCTGCTTTTAATGAGGACACTTGGCCTACACACTTCCCTGAGTAAACACAGCCTTGCTGCGCAGATCTGCAGCTCTGGCTCGGCGTGAAGCATGCAGGTGCTCCATGTGGAGGGAGCTTGTTTTCGGCTCAAGGGGCCATCCATCCCTCAGTCCTCTGACCCCATGCTGTCTAACCGGTAGCCACATGAATGCTCTCAGAGCCGTAGTACTCACTCCAACCACATGTGCTCAGACATGACCCCGCATTAATATCTGACTGGGGGAACACATTCGCTGTGACGTTAGCCCGTCCCACTAGCCTCTTGGCTGAAAACCAAAAGCACAAGGCCAAGTTTTGATTAGGTACTGCAAAATGCAGTCGGGGGACATCAGCTGCATAAGAGCTGTTTCATCTTTTGACTTCACTTTTTAAAAGCCTTTCTTATTTATGTATAGGAAGCTTGGCTGTATTTGGACATTTGGTTTATATTGTTTATTATATAGATTCAAGTATGGTTTAGGTGTTGCAGTATCTCTGAAAACAGTAAACGGCTGACATGCTACTACTACAACAGAAGGCAAATGTCATAAGATTAAAACTATGAATGAGTCATTCGACCATATGAAATTATGGAAACCAGGGTTGAAAGATGAATTTTCATTTCACACAGCAGTTTTCTCAAAGGCAAATAGAAATGCCTATGCAGCCTTTACTGTAATAACTACCAATGGTGACCATTTATATTGTATCAGTCTATTTGAAACGATATGTTATCTGACACTAGGTAACATTAAAAAAGTCAGGAAATTTACAATGTATGAGCTAGACTAAATTGGATTTGATTGAGTTGAATAGTTTCTTTGAATGCTTTGAAATATTTGCTTTAAAGAATATAACTGCACCAAAATTGTAATGTCCAAATCAATTGTTCTGTGTTAGTGTAACTTCTCTAGGAAAAAAGTGACCCCAACGTCACGTTGTTAAAAGAAGACCGGACCAAATTATCTGCACATTTTCTGGTACTCGGAACTGGGCTGTGGAGCTAAACTGAGCACCCACAGTAAGACAGCCATTCAAGATAGTCAAATAGGCTTTAGTTCTGGTTCTAAATTCCATTAAGACAAACATTGTGTAAAATTTGTTCAACTTAATTGGAGCCAAATATAACTGACTCATATTGCCAGTAATCGTTTGGCACCATCCCAGGATGCAAGCAGGGATGCCAATAGTTTTTAAATGATTTCAAAACCCTTTAATATGGCAAAAGCATTTTTTAGAATGTCAGAATGTTATAATCAAAAATTAAAAACATATTTTGAGATGGAAGTCGGACCTGACCAAGTCTCAGGACTAGTCAAACTATGAAAGAAGTGTGACTTGTAGTCCAGAAAATATGTTATTTTATATGCCTTATGGTTAAAACATCCCTTTTCCTTTGTAAATAATTTCTCTGGTAGCCATCCAGTTCTGCTGATTGGGTGGGCTATGTGATTTTTCTTTGGAAAAGGAGAGGAGAACCTTGTGCTAGACTCCTAAAATTTGGTTCAGATTACACATATGAATTAGTCAGAGCCATTGATGTCAAGTATGTGGGGAGCAGTCAGAATGATACCAGCATGACGGGTTAACCTCAACTGAGAAAACTTTCAAAAAACGTCTAAAGGGAACCCAATGCCTCAGCAGACATTTTGGGGGTGAGTTTGCACTTCTGTGCAGCAAAAATCCTAAAACACAAACAATAGCATGTGAGAACCAAAAGGTGAGGTCTACATTCTAGTGATTTCAAGAAAAATCCATTAAATCCCCTAATTTCTGCATATACAATTGAACAGAAAATTGCAATAAATCAAATGTGTATAAAAGAGGGGGAATTCAGTTAGTGAGGCAAAAATATAGTCTGTAGAACCCAACCAACTTTCAATTTTTTTACACTGTCTGAACAATTTCTGCTAGTACTTTTCAGGAGTGGTTCTCCAGGCTTCTTGAGGGATATTTCAAAGCTCTCGTTTGGTTTTTGGATCTCTTTTTTTCCCCATTTTCTGTCCGATTATCCCACACTGTTTCATTAACATCAAGGTTGTGGCTCTGTACAAAATATGTACAATATGTATCTTTGCTATAGGCAGTTCACAGGGTAACAATTTAACAAGTTGTCCTTCATAGGACATAGCACACTGGTACACCCCTAGTTAGGGGCCTTTTAATGTTTGGGTGATTCATCAGTCAGTGCTTAGCAGCTGAACAAAAAAAAGGAAAAAGAAAGAAGTACATTAGTAAAAATTAGTGTAAAAACAGGCCATGTCCACATTAAACTTTTAAGAATCCCCGGAGAACTATTGCTTAAGTCCTTCGAAGCAAAATATAAAGAAATGAGAGGCAGCACAAGACCTGCCCTGAACTTCACATGCACATGATGTAAAGAGTGCATCCAACTTGAGCGAAATGTCCCATGAGAGCCTTACACTACTTGAGCTAAAACGTGTACAGCCATGGCAGGTCGGTCCAGTCCAGGCAGGGAGTCGGTTTCTGTGCCTGGCACGGGATGCTGTGGCACCGGTAACGAAAACCAAGTTTTGTCTCAAATAAAAGCTGGTGGCTGATCCCACTATTTGAATTAGGTATAATATTTTGTCCTTAATAACCACAGCTGCACCAACACACGGGCCATAATACATAAAAAGATACACAGTGAGTATAGATCCTCTGTCATACAGATCAGGGAACACACAAGGACTCAGAAAGGGGCAATTTATCTTATTTTACTTCAAGAGAAAGAAGTCTGGTAACTCTTATTCACGTTTTTAGGATAAATTCAGCCCTTTTTCATCCAATCAAACTCCAGTGTACAGATTGGTCTATATCACAGTACACTCATTGGAAAGGTACCTGAATGGGGAACAGCTCTTATCTTTGTGAACACAGTGGCGTCTTCAAACCATCCTTGCCTGTATACTGTCTTAAAAATTTCCATTTCAAACAAGAGTGTTCTAAGCCACACGCATTCAAGAAATGTACTCTCTGGCTGCACACAAATGAGTTTGGTTAACAGCCTGAGGTACCTTGTAAAATCTAATTAACCGAACTGAACACCTGAAGAAAACCTGACTTTCATAAAGGCGATGAGATTCATTTGGGCAGAACCTCCACTACTGCTTGAACGGGCTGATTTAGTAAAGGTCGTGTGGAGTAATGCTGTTAAACTGATGCAACGTGCCGGAGGTGCGATGCTTTGCACAACTACCAGACTGCATTTACACAAATATACCTAAGAAATTGGCTTTGGCGCACACTGAGTGGATGCAGTAATGTGTTCACTGCATAACCAAACCCAGTACACAACAGTCCAAACCAGAGGGACTACCAACATGCCCCGAGCTGACTTGGTGACTCCCAACCGTGTTGTGTGCATTTTAGAGGAGCTTTACAACCACTAAAACAAAGTAATGTCATAAGCAAATGTTCAAACTGACGTTAATGTTTACAGTTAATGCTGAGGCCTTTACCTTGTCCATCTGACGCTGACAGAGCAGGTGAATTCAGCTTCGGCCGTTTGGAGCTGGGAGGTCCGACGTCCAGTAGATTTTCGGCCATAGTTGTTCTCTAGTTTAACTGCTTTTCTAGAGTTGACAATTCTGAATACTTTGTGACACAAAAGTTGCTCTTTCAACCCAAGCCTTCCCAGTTAGCACATTAGCAAGCTGGGAGCCGGCTAACGTTAGCTAACTGGCTAATAGCTAGCTAATTGCCTGCTACTAGCTATGTTAACTGTTAGCGCTAGCTACTCCTTGGCTGCGAGTCAGTCTCTCAAAAGAAATGCAATAGCGCCCCGCTTCGCCACCGCCATTCACCCCATGATAATCCAACACCCAACACCCACATTATTATCATTAAATAACCCAAATTAAAACGTCCCCCATGTACAAATCGAGCTAGAAAATGACAATCCAGATAAATTAGGTGGATTGCAACATTCCGAGAGAAAAGTCGTAATTTCTAGATGATCAAAGTGCCCATTTTGCGTGACGTCAAAATTCTTCGTGCAAAAATCGCGCGAAGCGCCCCAAAAATGCACAACTGCATAAAAATGCAAGGTTTCTGCAAATAGTCTCGAAAGTCACGATCTGGTCTCTGCTTGCCCACGGTAAACAATACTGCTGGCGAACGGCGACAGGGGCTGAATCGCCGCACTCTGAAGGGGAAATCAGATATACGGAGCTGTTCTGCCCGACGACCACCGATCCAATTCCCGTTTTTTCGCACAAAATTACTCCGAGGCGACGTTAAGGCTTCGTTCAATGCTGAAAGACGTTGTCATATCCCAGCAAAGATGGTCGATTTCTTCATAAAACCCAGCGTGGGACCGAAATACCAATTCCGAGCCGCGACAAGATGGCGGCTGTTGATTCCTTCGATACAAAAAGTTTTTTTTTTCTTTTCCAGATCGACTGTGTAGAGGGGGAGGGGCCGCGCTATCACGCCCTACGTGAAAACGCCACCGCCGCTGGCCGCTAGGGGCGCTCTCACACTGCTGTTAGAACACGCAATTTACAACTTATATTTGTTCTTTTTTCACTTACGGGTTCAATTACATTCGTCAGAACGTAAAATGTTACATGATCTGCAACTTTTAACGTAAATATAACTAGTGCAACATTACACGCAACACAAAGTTTGTTCAGCTATATAAGGTCATTACTGTATGATGCCGTTATGGTTTACATGTCAAATAGTGATGTTGGCTCACCTGGATGAAGCAAACGTTTAACTTTACATAGCGTTTATTTCATAATTCACAAAAGGAACCACTTGCATTAAGGAATACTTAACCCTTATTGTACATTTTAAAATTTTAATATTAATATATATGATTTCCCTTTAAAAATGTTGGTGTTAAATACCAATTATTGTCCACTTTAAACAACAGTTAGGAGCTTTTTTTTGGTAAAATCTGAAATGTGATGTTTGAACTAAATAAAAATGTACAAATATGTACTTTATGCATATTAATTGTAGTTTGCACTGTAGGTCCAAATGGAAATGATCAGAAAGTTCTCCCAATGATACTTGTGATACCTTTCAAACTTTGGATAACAATGTGTTGCTTGCCAGTTATGGTCCTGTGGTAAACTTCAGTGATACAAAAAAACTTTTGAATATCAGCTGCTGTGTGTGTGCATATATTGTAGTCCGGAAAAACCGTGAAGCCATGCGGATGTCTTTTTCCATGGCTTCCCTGTACTCCTCCCACGCCTTCACCATCCTTCACCGCGGGTGGTCACCAACAACCCCGTGACCTCGACAATGAAGGCACGGATCATGGCCCTCTCTGACTCACTTTCCGCCCTCTGGACGTGATCGAACCACTCCTGGAGGTGGGGATGAAGCTCAGCCTAACGGGGGACTCCGCCAGGTGATCCCAGCAGACCCCTCACAATGTGTTTGGGCCTCACCGACATCTTCCCCCACCATCGGTGCCAACTCACCCCCAAGTAGTGGTCAGTGGAAACCTCCGCCCCTCTCTGCACATGTGGACACCCTGATGCCTGAACATGGTGTTCGTTATGGACAATCCGTGCAGAGCACAGAAATCCAATAACAAAACACCACTCAGGCTGAAGCTGGGGGGGGGCCCTTCCTCACAACCACACCCTTCCAGGTCTGGCCTTCGTTGCCCACGTGAGCATTGAAGTCGCCCAGTAGAACAAGGGAGTCCCCAGGAGGGGCACCCTCCAGGACCCCCTCTAAGGACTTCAAAGAGGGTGTTTAATTTGCACTGCTGTTAGGCGCATAAGCACAAACAACAGTCAGCGCGCCCCCCCATCACTCAACAAGTATGCCAAATCCTGCTCGGCTCCTTTCACCGAGGGCAACTCCAGAATAGAAGAGTGTGCAACCCCTCTAAAGAAGACTGGTTCCAGAGCCAGGGCTGTGTGTCGAGGCCAGACCGACTGTTTCAGGCTCCTTCCCCACCAGAGAGGTGGCATTCCACGTCCGAAGAGTCAGATCCTGGAGCCAGGGACAGTGTGAATATATATATATATGTGTGTATGTGTGTGTGTGTGTGTGTGTGTGTGTGTGTGTGTGTGTGTATGTAAATATATTGTTTGAAAAAATTTAGTTTTAACTCATATTTATACTTTGCAATAGACTCTTACAGTTTTCCGCTAGGAGATTTATTTCTCTCAAACTGAACAAAGGAACAGGAATAAAATCTGATAACTCACACTTACGCAAACAGACACACAATCTGATAATACATGTCTCTTTTTCATTGTTTTCTGACAAAATCTGACACATGCACATGTATAAAAAAAATCATATGTGACATAATAACTGCATATGTACAAACACTGAGTGCTTTGTGCAAATGTGTACAGATTACGATCAGGTGTTGATAAATGATACATGGATAATGTGCACAAAACATACATAATACATCTCATTCAAAAACATAACGCAAAGACATTTAAAAACACTGTCTATCTTTTGTCCCAGTGTAATTAAAAACACAGATGGATTGAATTTACATTTTAAAAAATTAAGAGGAGGCGTCACCATTTGAGTGATTAAGTGATGCTGTTTTATGATGATGATTTTAACAAGTGCTCAGACTACCCCCTTACTTTGTCCTTTTTTCACATCAAAATGATTCAAAATTTGGGAACCCTAGTTTTTTTTTTAACTCTTGATACATTTAGTTATTTAAATACATTTAATTTCTGAATAAAAGTCACCTTTGACAAGAGAGATCAGTTTTGCCATTCACTATTGAAATATTTTCAATATCAATATTTTGTTCGGGTGATTTTAAAAACAAGGAAAGTACGGTGAAATTTCTTGTCTATTGGGAACACATGCGTCCGTTTCAACCTAAACATAGAAATACGATACTGACATTGAATGAAAGTATGAGGAGGATAGTGTGAAATCAGCAAAAAAAAAAGTTGGATGACCCTCAAAAAGGAAAAAAAAGCAAACCAAAGAAACAAAACAAAAAAAAGCTCACATGCAAATCAGAACCCAGCCACATCTCCCCTTACCACCTCACAGATCACAGAGCCAGCGATGTTTACTTTAATATTTTATTTATGCTGCTGTACAGATGTTTACTACTGGAGTGTTTCCCTTTCTGTACATCTGTGGAATCCCTTCTATATCTCAAAAATACTACAGGTAACCCTGTCAAAGCTATGGAGCCTCAAGAATGATTATTTAGGAGAAAAACAAAATCTGAGGGCAGAATCTCCAAAAACCTCTATGTGGAGGGGGGGGGGGTGTTAAAACTTTCCCTCATAACAAATATGTAATATTTTCTTATACTTTATGAGTTATTCATCATGTTTGGCAAACATGAACGAGCTGAGAATATGCAACACAAGAGTACAACAAGATGTTTTAGAGGTAATGATTTTGGCCGACAAGGAAAGTCTTTCGTAACTTCTATCTCAAGCTACAGTCCTGACTGCTGGAGATACTTCTTTGGACTCATTTTTTGTATCATTGGGGTGACGATATTCATAACTCACATAAAAGGATGAAACACATCCTAAATTAAAAGGCACTGGTTGGGTATTATCAGAATGCACAATGGCAGAGTTAAACAATCGCGTCTTTATGCTACAGATGGTACAGACAGATAAACAGAGATGGCTCCCTCTTTCTTGAGTTAGTCCTCAATGTGGTCACACTCTCTCAATGAAAGGTCCTAACTTAAAATGAACTGTGTGGGGGGGATTATGCGTCACTGAATTTGTTTCCATTCCAAATTGTATATTGAAAATGTCAATACTTTACAAAGAGGGCAGCAGCGACAAAATGAAAGGCTAAAGGGAGGCCTAGCTGAGTCATTTTATTTGGCATCCTTTCTTTTTGTTCTTAAGAAAAATATTCAAAGCCCCTCTCACATATACAATGCACATACACTCAGAAAACAAGAGAAAAATAAGTGCTTTCAGGAGAAAAGACAAAACATGAAGAAAAAAGGGAGGCAGCTATTCAATGTGAACACCACACCATTTCAGACACCTGATTCATGTCAGGATGAAAGAAGTGGGAAGAAGAAAAGGGGGAAAAAATGGAATTTGTCAAATAAAAATTGCAACAAATGTTGGAGGAGCATGATTTCTCTAAGATTATATCATAATCTATCCTCATTGTGACAGCACAGTAATAAAAAAAGAAAACTTACTGCAAACCAAAATACTGAAAAAAAATACAGTCATTCTTTTAGGCACCACAAAAACAATCAGCTAGTTCAGGTTGCACTGCACCTATAGATCACTCAATTAAAGTGGCACGATATTGATACAGTAGAGGGCCCCTGCCTGGGAAGAGGCTGTCAAAAGTCCCAACTCTTTAACAGCAACTCACAAAATGAAGGCAGAAAACACTGAGCTGTCGAACAAGTCTGAAGCAATGGACTTCGGTTTGGTTTTTGGCAATGAAGGTGACGAATGAAGCGCCACAGAATTAGACTGAAGTTTTACACAGTACTGTGGAAACTGAAGCCCGTCATCTTACCAGGGACCACGCATAATCATCCCTCACAGTCCCACTTAAATGTTTTACTCCGCACAAAATCATCTGAGTATAAAAACTTTAAAAGATGAGTCTGGTGGCATTCGCTTTTTATTGTAGTAGAAATCAAAAGACCACAAGCAGTAATGAATCCATCCCACTGATGGCACGTCTGATGCTTCTAAACATAATTAACCCACTTCTTAGGAGCTACCCTTGTTGATCTGAAATGATAATAAATGCCAAGCCAGGTCATATGTTTCCATCACTAGTGCACCAAAAATCAACCCCCCCACCCACAAACTTTCTCCTTGACGTGGGAAAAACTGCCGTAGTGCACTGACTTAGAGGTTCAGGTTGGGTCATTTGCTCTACACTAGACGTCATTCCTGATCTTTTGTTTCTACATTTGAACAAATGTCTCTAAAGTGACACAAGGAAAACTTGTAAAAGTCCCCCAAAATAATACATCTGTTATAATACTACTGCTCGATTTGTGATTCGTGAAAATGTCGGGTTGGTACTGAAAGCCAAAGTAAGATGAGAAGATGAAAAAGAATTCAGATGCAGATGAATACAATATTGATTTAGGTCTTTCAATTACGTGAATTCAATATGGTAATCATGCTAAAATAAAGTCGGGTTGTAGTATGGGAGCTCACTGGCTACTTTTTCTAAACCTAAAAGACAAGATGTATGAATAAACTTTTTCTTCTCTGGCATCTTTCAGGCCAACAGGAGGTGAGCGTTTAATACTCAATACACGCTTTGGTGTCACCTTTAGCATATTTAAAGTGCCTTCCCGCTTTTTTAAAACCACCTTTCCCTTACGATCTATAATCCCTCATCTTATATATTTTGTGCTTTTGATTTGCAAGAGCTCTCTTTAAAAAAATGTCTTAGAAGCTATCAAGCGGTAATAGATACCAAATAAAAGTGGTCGAACAACACTGTGCAAGAGCTGTGCTTAAAATGTGCATTTAGCTGCGACACTACCTAAAATCTAAGCAGCTTTGTAGCATGTCCCCTTGAAAGTGAAACTCTGGCATGAATGAATACTGTACTTCAGCCCTCATGTCGAAGCATTTTACATAAACTAACACTGCTTCATACCATTCCCTCATTTCCCCCATACTTTTGTGTGCAGCCCATCATACTGCACTGGCACTTGTATAAAATTAAAAATGATTTTTCCCTTAAGTAATGGCAAGACTTGGATCAAGTTAAAACAACTTATATGGCACAACAGCAATGATTTATAAAGAAATACTTGCATTCAAAATGAAAGCGTGGAGTAAGAAATCACAGCATGTTCTTAGTCTAAGATTGCTAAAACTTGTTCAGTTTTCTTAATATTTTTTGTTCACTGTTCTAGTCCTGAAGGCACTTGATGACAAACATATCATGAAAAAAAAACATCAACAATTCCTCCCTCTTTCCCTCTTAACCCTTTTCATCCTTTACCTCCGTTAAAAACTTCTGTGCTCAACACAGGTCGGACCCAATCCAGAACTAAGGTAACACTCCTGTGACAGATGGAAAATGGCTGTTTTAAAGCCACTGAAGCCGTGACTGGAGTCGAAGTGGCCAGCTCCTTCTTCTGTTAGTCTAAAGGAAGGGCTAGCGTGCCCACATCTGCAACGAGTCCCAGAGAGGCCACAACTGGGAGCAGCAGGCGAGGGATCAGAGACGAACGCAAAACTCCTCGTAGAGTTTGGTAAGCTCGTTCGATTCCTCCTCTTCGTCCTCCTCCTCTTGGAGCGCTAGAGGAGCAGGCTGCGCCTGGGAGGACACTTGCATGGCACTGGCCTGGAGGCCTGGCTCAGAACGGGCGTGGGGGTGAGTGTCTGTGTCGGGGGACTGTCCGGGGAGATGAGCAGCGTCCCTATATCCTTCATCCCTCACTTCGGGGCACTTGGCCGAGACGGGCTCCGGCCCCGCCCCCGCAGGCCTCACAGTGCTTTGGGGCTGAGGAGGGGAGAGAGTCGAGAGAGAAGAGGATGCAGGAGCACAAGGAGGGGCTGCAGGTGCCACGGACGCGGAAACCTTACTGGCAGACACAGTCACGGACAAGGGTCCGACTCCAGCGTCCACCTCCGCTCCGTCCTGACACGCGTCGTCCCCACTTTTGGGGTAAAGGAAGGTCCTCATTTGGCCTTTGCCCTTAACATTCACCGTGCCCCTGTATTCAAACTCTAAGCCCATGGCGCTGAGCACAGCGTGGCTCTCCTCGCTCACCTGCACTCGGCACTCCACGCCGGTGGAGTCCATGCGGCTGGCGATGTTAACTGTGTCTCCCCAAATATCATAGAGCAGCTTAGTGGTGCCAATCACCCCCGCCGTCAGGGGGCCGTGATTAAATCCGATGCGGAGCTTGAACCCGAAGCCCAACATGTTCTTGTTGAAGTCGTCTAGGACGCCCATCATCTCCAGGGCGAAGCTGAAAAGGGCCGTCAGGTGAGCGTGCGGAGAGTCCTCTTCGTCCTCCGCCATCTGTTGGACGTTCAGGCCCGACGCTGCCATGTAGGTGGAGCCGATGGTCTTGATTTTCTCCACGCTCTTGTATTCGGGTTTCCGCAAGAGTTCGTCAAAGTCGCCAATGAGCTCGTTCAAAACGCGGTAACACTCCTTGCCTCCCTCGTAGCTCTCTTCGTAGAACTCGCTGAAGTTCACGATGCTGGCAAAGATCACACCAACACTGTCGTGGTTCTTTGAGTAGCTCTGAGTCACCTGTGAAAACAGCAGAGGCCCCGTTTCAGTGAACAAGGAAGGAAAGACATATATACGTTTCGCATCAATCTGACAGCTAAAACAAGAAGAAATCACTTTAAAAAGTTGAAATTTGACATTTTTGTTTCAATTTAAGCAAAAACCTTGAGTTGGTAAGCGACGTGGATGGGGATGATGTTGCCCAGTAACCACTCAGCTTGGTCTCGCATGTTCTGAATCTTGAAGCGGTGCTTATCGGCTTCCACATTTCCATGGTAATGGAGACGATAGCTGACCTCAAACTCACGGTTGAGGAACCAGACCAGAAGAAGAAGTAGGAAAAAGGCCAGGATGGCCTCTGGCACTAGAAGTTCAAAAAGTTGCTGAGGAGGCTCGGCTCCCAACTTTGAACCACCATCACTCAATGTGGAGATGTTCATTCTGAGGGATAAACGGGATGAGAAGCACATAGGAAAAAGGGAAAAGATGAACATAATACACAAATTCTGCCTGCAGGATCAACATCTTCAAGTTTAAGTAATATTTACAATGTAAATAAGAATAGATTTTTTGCATTATTGGTATTTATGCTTCATCCGAGTTGAACACAAAGAGTTGCCATGGATGAAGACGAGCTGTTTCTGTGAAGATACTTACCCATGAATTTCTCCGCTGCGGTTACTAGAGCTGAAAGAGACGTGAGTGCCATCAGTCAGGCAAAACAACTGCTCTGACACCACAACTCATACACAACATTTACCGATCGAATTCAAATCTTTCTCAAAGAAAGGTACTGCTGGCTGTTCCAAACTCTGCTGTTATATCCCATATTTAAGGTTAAAAATACACAGATTTAGTCAAAGTTGAATCGAAGCCATTTTAATCAGCAGCATCATTGATTAAAGTTTTGATTTGATTACATTTTAGGAGCCAAAACAAAAAATAACATGGTTCTATGTTGCTTCAAGATATAAAGAAAGACCTCCATGGATTTCTTTGACACATGCAAATAATAAGCTGATGTATTTTAAAAAGTGTCATATGTGTCGATGATGCTACCGCAGCTTTACCTGTGGAAGGGACTGTACAGCAGTAGGAGCAGAGCAACCCCTGTGGCAGTGGCCAGGATGGAACGCATCCAAAAGCTCAACTGACAGAAGTTACAATACTGGATGATGGCCAGGATGGTGGCACAGCACAGGAACATGGTGACCTGCAGGGAATAGAGGCCAATCAAAATAACAAATGGTCAATAGAGACCGTTTTTCTGCTTTAATTGACATTGATCACTACTACTACAGCTACTATTACTACGATCAATTGGCACAATTTCCTATAAACATATTAGCAAAACTCTTGCCTTCTGAAGGATGCTAAGGTGCTATAAGAACAAGGACAAACGGACGGAAACACAGTTATCATACCCGAATGAATAACATGAATAACTGGAGTATTAATAAAACATGGGGAACTGCTATATGCCTCAAATAATAGAGTCATCCAATTTAATTGTGCCCAACTTGTGCACCACATTAGGAGCAAAAAGCAGAAAAGCCCTCTTTGGAAAATGGATAAATAGCAGCATATGCTGCTCTGCAATCCCTGTTTATCGTTCTGCATTAATGGGGCCTTCGCACACATTTCTATTTTGCTCATAAATTTAGAAGTAATGTACTCTCGTGCCATCACAAATGCTGTATAAACTGGGCCATGACAATGAACTGTTTTTTCTCTTTAACGAAACAAGTTGTTTCCGTAGTTTTGCTCTGTAATTTTAATTGATTTTTAGAAATGTTCCAAATGTGTTACCTTAATATCCATTTATTAAAGATGGGTTGCACCATTAAATACAAAATAACCATTTTGACTTAGAAAGAGCTGCATTGCTTTTTTGAGTATATCTGACAGTGCTGCAACATTTATTTGCATTGTACTCTGCAGGTTTCTTAGATCCTAGTGTTTTCTGTGTGTCAGCTTTAACTGAATTTTTTTCAAATTTTTTGAAGACAGCTCTCCGTCATATCTATATCAATTTTATTTACAAAACGTATTTTTATTTCCTAATAGCAAAGACATCCTATAGAGCTAATATGTAATGTTTGCATTCACAAATATATACAATAAATTAACCATGAATCCTATCTCATGAAACAGGAGGTGTGGTCGTAGACGTTCAGGAAAATTTACAGACTGGATCTTTTTCTAATCTCTGCCTATAACCTTTCTCCATAATTTCCACCTTTTAGCCCCAGTACTAAGGTCTTACTAACTTCAAAGACATTCGAGCAAAAAATAAATAAAAAAACTGCATGTCTCATTAACAACTCTCCCTGAAAGTACCACTTTGATCTCCAAGCCCCAGAGAGATGGAGAGAGCAGAGGGAGATATAACGCATGGGGAGGGAAACCGAAAAATCTCCGAAAAGCAAGATGTCAAAACATCACACATCGTGCATGCAGTCATTGGTTTAAAGCTGGGAGGTGAGAGTCAAGCTCACACAGAGCAAAGAGGCCTTTACTAAAAAAACATTTTCAATTCAGGACTCAGAGAAGATGTGTCAACATTGCTGGCCTTAATGTCTTCGGGGGGGAAATCTTCTCAGAGCTAATGCCTTTTAATTAAACTCTGGCTTTAGGCCGTGAATGCAAACTTTTCAACCCACAAAACCATCTCTGCTCACACTGGCATCGAGTCATTAGTGGAGACAAAACATTATGGTTTAAAAATGACAAGATGTACTGGAATTGCCAGTCGTCTCCTTTCCTGAGCCCTGAACACTTATGGTTGCAGCTAAGCTACAAAAAAAAAGGGAAAAAACACATCCACTTAGCAGAAATGGCTATTTGACGGCTGCATTACTGTTGGGACAGCTGTGATTCACAATATCAGCTTTTGAACTCCTGCTGGTTCAGATGTGCTTCAACCGCAGGTCAATTTGGATTGGATGACCTGAGCATGGCTTTAACATTTTAACCCCAACATCAAATTTTCATATTTACCTGGAGAGGAAGGTGGACGCTGGATACGAGATGGGACAAGACAGAAATTGCTGGTAGGGAGACCAGCACAGCCCCGATCACGTGACGAGAGACCCAGCCAGAAATCACCAGGAGCAGGGAGCGGGTACAGTTCATCAGCTCCTCCAAATAGAAGGTTATGCTGCAGGAAGGAGAGGAGGACGTAGAAGTGAAACTCCAAGCATAAGTCAAGTCATAGGTTTAAAAACAACAGCCTTTCACCAAAACCTCAACTAAAAGCCTTTGGGCTAAAGAATAAGGCAAAAAGCCACAACAACAATAATAATTGGAACACAATTTGAGAAAAAAAATCAATGAAACAACAAAAATATATGGAAAGACTTGTTATGACTAAATGTCATTGTCAGTTGTTTTTTTTGGGGGGGGGGGGGGGGAAAAGTTTCAAAATTAAAATTTTCAAAATATGTAAATTAGAATGAAAAAAAAGTGAACAAATACAAAGCTGTTCCTCCTCCACTCATCATCTTCAGTACGGAAAATAGAGCAGCCACGGACTCTCAGTTGTTCTGAGTTAGAACAAACCTTTACAACAACAATGCTGCCCAACTCACAACAAAAAATTAAATGGAAGAGTTATTGCCCGTTACGTGTGCCAATGAGTACAAGAAAGAAAATGAAGAAATCCTCAAATACTCGTAATTCACACTCGTTAAACAGGAACACAATTCTAACACTGAGTACAGGAAAAGTTCTTTTTTTCTTTTCTTTATGAGATTTGGAAGGAAACCTGGTACCAATATGTCATTGAGCCACTTACTGGACACTGGAAATGGGCCAGTCAGATCTGAGCGGGTAAATTAATCTACTGTGGCCTGGGAGCCAAATAAAACCTACAATCATTTTTGCTGGGTTCTGTGCAGAGTTATGATGTAACACATCACTCTACTGGTCGTTTTTTAATCCTCTGAATTATGACTCCGGAGATATAGACTTAAAACACAATGGCAGTGGACATGGACACTTGGAAATAATATTTCTGGGGCTTCTCTGCCAGGAAAAAAATTCAATAACGAGATGATAACTTAGTCACTGACATTTGTTTAATACAGTTGTACAAAGACTTTTCTTTTAGGAAGTCGGTTATTAAGTTTCTGAATCAAAACCGTCCCCCTCACACACACGAACACACATAAAAACCTTCTCACCGTATGGAGAGCACCAGGGAGGCCAGCTCCAGCAGAGCAGCGAGGGGAGCCAGGACCAGGGCGGCCAGGGCTGGAGAGCTCAGGCTGGTCGAGCTCACCAGGGAGGGAAGGAAGCAGGCCAGGGTCAACGCCAGGAAGAAGAAAAAGCTGAGGAGAACGTCCAGGAAGGAGCTAAACGTGGAGCTCGCAAACGTCTGCACCTGAACCTGGGTCCTCATCTGCGGGAAGAAAGTGTGGCGATAAATTAGATACAAAAACAAACCAAAAAACCTGATAAGGATACAGGATAAATCAGTCCATAGAGCTTTCCCTTTCCTCTTAAAATAGTGCACAGGTCAACTTGACCGATTTGACCGACTTGACCGCCATACATTCAGAATACAGCTGAACTTATCTATGTTACCACAACACTGCATTGCCATTGGAAACTTTATTCTATGTTGTTTTGTGAAACAAACATTTCCGGTACATGTTTTATAAATAACTAATACAAATTCATAGTGCAGTTTTAAAAAAGTTCTAAAGTGTCTTTTCTGTTTCTCCGTTCTGTAGTAATGCTGGTCTGACAGCAGGGGGCTGCAGGACTGTGGGGGTCAGTGCTGGCCAACTGAAAAGTAAATAGACCGCTGCATGTTCTCTATAAAACAAAAACATTTGGGAGTTAAAAAAAAAGAAAAGTTCAAGGTGAATGAACTTTGCGAAACTGTTTTCATGATAGTTGAAGCAGTGACAGTGCCCAATACCATACACAGAGCGGGTATTTAAGAAATATAGTCAAAATAAACTACTGCTTTGCACACTGACACAGAAAAGAGACTGGATCTGTTTGCTCTTATCTGCGCACCTCCTCCTTGTAGCTGTTGCGATAAGCCTTTTCCAGTGGTCTCTCTAGGAAATTGAGACTGATCTTGTTGATGGGTGGCTTGAAAAAGTAGTCCTTCATCAAACTGTAGAGCAGGGATGAAAACAAAAAAGGGACAACATGGGGTTAAACCCTGCTCTTAACAGAAAAAAACAAACAGCAAGTCTAACGACTGAAATCTTCTTTAGGTAAAAGACCTCTTTAGGTAAATGATATCATTAAATGCACGTTCTATTGTCACATACTTTCTACTTGGAGCACTTATCTTCATAACTGTGGTGAGGAAAACACCCCATTTCTAACCAAATAAATCTCTTATCACTCTTCCGGTTATTACTTTGCTCTATCGGTTCATAAATTCCACCTTTGACCTCTCGGCTCACCTGTCCTCTCTGATAACATCCACAAAGTGGGCGTCGCTCTTCTGTTTGATGTTCTCGTCTCGCAGCTGGATGAGGGCAGAGTTGTCCATGCCCGACCCCCCCGTGGCCCCGGGGCCTCCGGTCATGCCGAGGCTGGTGCCGGTCCCCGTGCTGGTGCTGGTCTTCTTCTCTTTCTCCTGGAGGATGTCGCACAGCGAGCTCTGGCTGGCGCGCACCACCGGGTCCTCCAGCGGGGGGCTCAGGAGCCCGTTGGCCGCCCTGGGGCTGTGACCTGGAACGAACTGAGCCGGGGAGGGGTGCAAACAAAAGGGAAGGGACGGGTTAAGACAGCCGCCAGATTCTCAGACGAGCAGGTTTTGCACGTTGCGCAGCTTAAGTCGCCAAATCCCAAAAGACAACCGGGCGTGTTGATTGTCGGTACCTTGGCACTGCCGGGCTTGTGTTCTTCCTGGCATCCGTTCAACATGGCCACATCCTCGCTGTGCTCCGTTACAGAGGGACGGACTGTGCTATGGAACACACAGGGAGGCTACGGAGACAAAAATGACAGCAGGGGGAGAGGCTGACAAATGAAAACATATTACACCGCAGCAGTTAGAGCTCCATTATCTCATTAAACGCAACAGACGAGGTTGTTAGCACTTGTACGCGGAGTGTTTTCTGGGTCAAAAGAGACTAGTGGCAGTCTCTAATTAGCTGACTCACAATTAACCCACTTTTATCTGGAATGTCATGAGTTCTCACCAGATTTTTTTTTTTTTTTTAAATAAAACAGATTGTTTTATAAAAGGTTTATGCTCAAATGTCTATTTATTATTCTATCATTTATTGCATTTAACATTTTCAGAGGCTGAGAAGGAAATGTTTTAGAGAAAATTCTCAGGTTTTCTGTCACTGAATAGGTTAAAGCTCAGCGAGTCAATGAATATGAGAAATAAAAAACAAAAACAAAAACCTCAAATTTGGGAATATGGCAAAATATATCACGCCACATCTGATTTCAGAAAGACTGACATTCGGTTGGCACACAGAATATCTGAAGTGGTTTTCTGTGGAGCACTCATTAAATACAAGTGTCTCACTTTTAGCAGTTAGTGATCAGAGCAATTGGGTTAGAGAGTCCAAGTTAACAACTGAAAGATCCCCAAAAAGTGCATTAGAAGAGCAAACCTTTCCGCCTCCTCCAACTCAAACTTTCAACTATTCTTAGCCGGGTTTTTTTCTCATTTGCTGTGTGTTAAAATCGTTTATAGTGAAATTCGTCTTTTCATCTTAAATCCTTACCCCCGTCGGCTGGTGGGGCAGCAGTGACTCGGCAGCCTGGGCACCTCCAGGAATGAGGTCTGGGGTCCGGGGTTGAGGGCTGGAGGGCAGGGCGACCACCACAAAATCCCCCCCGGATTGCAGTCCCATCTGAGAACAGCCGCACTGCACGTCGTGATCCAGCTTCTTTCCTGAGATGAGATAGGTCTTCATCCCTGACAGAAAACACAAGCAGAAAACAATTCATATTCTGTTGGCGTCCACTGTAATGGCATGAATGTTTACAAGACGGGTCCATTTTGAGAGAGGAAAAACAAAAAAAGAAAAGCAAATGACTGCAGTCTCAGCATTATGGCCCAAACATCACAGCAATGAATTTTCATTAAATGGCCGAACTACTGTGTTAAACTACAAAAATTCTAAACTAGACAACAGTATGCATGCAAATAACGCTGAAGACACAACAGACAGGGGAAACTGTATTTAAACCATGACCAATTTATAGCAAAATTCTTATTGTTCTTCTTCTTTTTTGGGTGTAAATGAGGTCATGTGCCTCTTCTCCTCAACACACCTACATGAGAAGTGTGAGGTTAAGTGAGAGACGAGATTAAACCTCTGCATTCTGCTTTCCAGAGCAGGAATTATGCAGTGGTTTTCACACCAATGTCGCCAAGTGAGGGGCTACAAGCTACACGTCCGACAGTTCGAGACAACTTCAAGGCTTCGGTCGACAGCTGTCACCTTGTACCATGAGGCGATCTTCATGAAGGCCTAAAACGGAGATTCAACACAATTTGAGATTATTTTTAAAATGTTGTGGGCTCTGGCAGTGCATCCGTCTCCATGTAGCTTATGATTCAGGATTATGAGATACAAAACTGTCACTCCAGACCTTCACGAGGATGATGATGATAAGCACACAGCATGGGCTCTCCACTGATCCGTAGGCTACACACCGATTTTCACTTGACCCATGACACCATGATGATGAAATACATTTTTAAAAAGCCTTCCTAGTTATAGAGTGAAGTCTTTTTTGTTGATGAGAGCAAGTCCCTTAGGAGTAAACCGTGGTCTTTGTTACTTTTCAGGCCTTTAACATGGCTAAAAGTTATGCAAACAACTGAAGGAAAGGGAAATCCCCCCCCAAAGCCTCAAATGGCATCTTTAACAGACTGATGAAGCCATTACATTACACAAGTTTAAAAAGAGCTGTTCACTCATCAAACCAATCATGACCCGAGCTTCGCTGATGGAGAGGAAGGCTGACAAGCAGATGGTAACGCAATACTGGATGTTTCACCAGCTCTGTTTGCATATCATCTGAGGGTTCTGGCCTGTTCACACTGGGGCAGAGCCAACAAGGAAATACACAAACAGTGTATTAGAGTGGGTGGCTCGCAGCCAGCTGCTATCAGCCTGTCCAAACATACAGTAACCTGGCTAGCTGGCCTTAGCTAACACCTCTGTCCCGGATAAACTGGAGAGTAGCCGCGGGCCAGAAAATGACCCGCACCGTGGGTGTCAGTGAACTCCCCGCTTCAATATGACGGCAGATTATTTTTGTTCTAAAAAAAAAAACAACAACCCTGGTTTGGCTCTTTAGCTCCAAGGCCATAAAAAAAAAAAAAGTCCTTCATACAGAATGCCAAGTTTCAAGTTTTCAGCTTGTGCCGTAGGAACAAACCTATTGCAGCCAATTTATAATTTATGCCTTTTGCAGGGATTTCTAAGCCTTCTCTTATAAAAAGATTTATGTCGTATTTTGACTAAATTATCGCCTCGGATGAAATTTAAGTGTTGAAATTTTTAAATGTTATATTTACCCAAGACCTTTAAGGAGTCTGATGTTCTGGAATCTTTTAAAGGAGGTCAAAAACAAACAACCTCATTAAATGTCACCTCAACTCAGCTCCGGTTCGGAAATAAGAGAGGGACGGAGAATGAGACGTCCCTTTTGGTCAAGGAGGGGTCCAAAGAGAACCCAAGGGGCTGCAAGAAAAAGAAAATAAAGGGACAGTAGCCGAATACTAACCTCTCTCTCTCTCGAGGAGCGTTCTTAACATCGAGAATAGCAACCAGACCAATCCCATGATATGCAAGAGGTGAGGCAGGATTTGAAGTAGTGAGAGTTAAAATGAGGGAGGATCTGTTCAGTGCAAGTCTGAGGGGTTGACGTCACTGATATTTCTCTACAAAACAGAGAAGGGAACGAAATCCAGAAATGTGTCAGCCTGCTTAAGTGTGACTGATGAGAGTCTGACCTACGTCTATGTCAAAGCCTGTGCGTCACTCTGATGCTCGGTGGGCGTGCTAAAACGCTGGGTTGTGTACTACTGAGGATCTGCAACATTTCTGGTGAATCAAGTATGCATGAAACATCGCATCTCTTTCATGCCTGCGACTCGGCACTGACTAACTCCCATTTATTCCTCAGGTTTTGCACTTCCTTTGAGTCAGTGTGATACAAATCTATTAATGGATGAATGGATGCTTCAATAACATGGCGGATTTCAGATCAACTGTGTCTGTCGTGTCATTAACGAATGAATCACCTGCTGCCTTGTTTCTAAGGTAATCGCTTTCGAGCTCTTTAGATTTAAAGTAGTGAAACAGGAACTTGCTGATCCAATCACTGGCAGTTGTTTGAAAAACCCCAAAACAAATGCTTTATCACTGCACCACATACCAGGTATCTGTACCTCACTAAAAAAAATATATCTTTTTTTTTAAAAAAAATTACAATCTTTAATATACGACATGTATTTGTGCTTTCTACTGTTCACGCATTTATAATCTGACAGTTGTTTATGTTTTCACAAGTTTGATAAGATTTCTTTTTTTGCCTTTTTCCATTTTGCATTTTTTTGTGTTTGCAGAATCAAGGTCAATTTCAACCTGCATGGATGGGACAGTCGCATTTAGATTTGGCATCTAGCTGTTGATTGAATGACCCAAAACAGAAGTTACAGACATAACGAGGTCGTGAAGCAGAAGAGAGAGAGTCTCTACTCATTCAGCGACTCAGGATTCTATCTTTTTTTTTTGTTCCCAATAAAGGTATTTCTAAAAGTATTAATTAAGAAAAGTTATGGAACTGTCCTATCACCATTAATGTTAAAAGTTAAAGGACATTTCAGAGCTTTTTTTCACTCTTATTTTAGTATATAAAGTTGTAATAATCAAAGCCCATTTTTACATGAGCAAATAATCTCTGATTTCCAGTTGACTGGAAAGAGTTTTGACATTCTGGGGAATAACTGTCTAACTATGAACTCAAATCTACTCCACTGCAAGATACTTTAGGATACTTTGGTTCAAATGGGTCAAATAATGGACTTTCACATGAACATTTTTCCTCCTCAGCTTAAATTATTTGTGAATGCATATCTAAGAATGAGATGATCCTGGGAGGTTGGAGTCCCCCCCCCCCCCACCCAAACATCACAGACTTGGCAGATGTCCTCTGCCTTCAGGCCAACAACATAATGTTCACACTCACACACAGCATTGACTCACACAGAAAGTTTCCCTATTTTTTCTGGGCCACCTATTTCACTGGACAAAACTGAGTATCCCCTGTTTTACTTTTCTAGAAATCCCAGGTACAACCTCAGCCAGGTGAAAGAACCCCTATCACTTCAGCCTCATCTGAAACGTGCTGAGTTTTTAAAGTTTAGACAGCTTTAAAATGTTAGTTTACAACACAGGTGCCTGTGCTTTTTTCTGTTTTGCTTTGCTTTGAGACTCAACGCAGCTTTTTCAAATGAAACTGAGTAGAAGAAACATACAGAAATGATCTGAAAGAAATTCCATGTCCTTCGAAGTCACAACCAATACACAAAAAGACAGACTTTTTCTTAAAGCCGTCACTCTTCGCTCATGTTGCGCTTAAAAGAATGTGTGTCAGTGGAAGCTGTTTTTCTAACATTCTCGTGACTGAACCCTCCATTTGAACTGCAATAAGATGTCAGTTGCACTACAAAAAAGGCTGGTGATGATCGAGTTCAAGTGATTTTGTAGCAATCCTGAAGTCAGTGCGTATTTATGAGTTATTGTTTCAGTCTTTTTATTTGGATAATGAAGCTGTAAATTTAAAAATGGAGACTATTTCAACAAAAAAAGGATTTCATACGCAAGTTGTAGACAGACATTGTCTTATTGTTGGATATCATGTTTCAAGCTGGCAGAGAGTAAGGGCTCAAATGATTTTCCAAATATAACAACGGATTAAACTAAATAGAGTGATGAAAGTTTTCTGAAGGTCAGAAAATTTGCCATTTGCAGACACATCTTTTAGAGATCAGTCTTCATACTCTTGCCACTTGTGAAGAAGAGCTGCTAAAGACGGAGGAGCTTGAGACACAGACGAGATAGTGAACACAGACAGTGGCAAATGGCACCGGGATGGTAAGGTGGGGGTAAGAGACCAGGAGTGCTCTGGATGTTTGGCATGCCTTGCATAACCCACATTCTTTCGCTACAATCATTTCAGCTTTTGAACTTTATCATCAGTCTGCTCAAAATTTTAAAAAACAAACCTTGACTTATGAGTGTTTAACAGCCCGGAAAGAAGGAGCCCTCGATGTGGTCTCAAACGCAGTTGAGTCGAGCTCTGGACGAACTCGACTGGGCCCAACTCGACGTCCCGGTTTAAATGTATTGGCGGTATAAAGAAATGGTTTATTTCTGTTTGTCAGACAAAAAACATTGAGGACAGTGTTTGACAGTCTGCCCGGTCGACCTTTCTCTGTTGGCAAATATTGTACGTATACAGCCGCATTTACTCCACAGATGTAGCATTTAAGTTACTTGAATAGTGTCTTTGTCAGTTAAAATAAGTTGTTTTTTTTCTTAGAGCAGCTTGACAGCCTGGAAAGTGACTATGTGATGACATGTCATGCTGACTGGCTGGTCTTGGCAGGACTCTAGCATTATGTATTTATACTTTCTGAAAGGTTTTCCGACCGTATTGTGGATGTACGTGATGGTTTAAATTTCTAGGTATTTAATTAATGCCTTTCATTTACAGGTCATAACAATGCGTGACACAGCTTATTTGCATTTGTGTGTGTGTGTCTATTTTCATTTGGTTTTGCAAAGAAGCTTCAGGGAGGAGGGGGAAAAAAAAAGACACGGCTCTCATTATAGCTCATTTTGATTAAAATAGTTGTTCAGACAAGCTGGAACACATACAGTTTAGCTGAGGACAACCATCA